ACTGGAGGTGGTGCGGCCGGAGGCGGAGGTGGCGGAGCCACTTGATTAGCAACCAATTGGGAAAGCTGCTGAACCATTTCCGCTAAAGCCGTCACTTGCACTCTCACATCGGCTTGATCCCTTGAACCGTCTCTACCCAACCCGCTAGTCCTCGACGCGCCGGGGGCTGCGTCTCCAACAGAGGACGCTGCTCCTAGCACTGCCGAATGGCCTACGAGATGTTGACTTGTTGCACCCCCACCAGGGTCCCTTGAATCAGCTGGGGCATCGTGACCAAGTCCTGTACTTTGAACAGAACCACACGGAGGGTCGGGGATAGTACTTGTAAAAGCATTCCCTTGCGACGATGCGGCAACACCGGAGGTATCTTGTGAACTTGAAACCTGAGGCGCTCCAACCGGCTGATGGGTTCCTGGGGGAACTGTGCCTTGACTTGAGGCTTTAGCCGCGCTTGTTTCCGTAGCTGTTTCGGCTATTGATGCGGCTTTCGGCGGGGACTCTTGCATCGGAACAGGGGTCGCACGAGCTTGTTGGGTGAGCTGCGCAACAACACGTTCGAGATCACCAAGTCGTTGATGCATCACAGAATTTTCCTGGGACAATCCACGAATGGTATGCTCTTGACTGGCAATGGTTTGCTCCCTTTGTAGGATTGCCTGTTGAGCCTCTTGAACAATGCGTTGAACCTCTTGCTGAGCGTCCTGTTGAGTGGCATTAACAACCTGTCGTGCGTTCTCGACATGGCCTAAGGCTTCCTGTCGTGTCTGCTCAATGAGTTGCCTAGCCTGAGCCTCACTTTGTTGTGCTGTTTGAACAGCCTGCTGTGCTTGCGAAGCTAGCTGAGCGGCCTGAACCCTAACGTCTGAAACTTCTCTTACAGCCCTTTCCCTGATCCATCCGGCCTCTTGTCTCGCCTGATCGGCGGCCTGCTGTTGATGCAAGGCGTGATTGGCTGCCTGAGCAGCGAGGTCGGATGCTCGATGAGCTTGCTGCACCGCAGCTCCAGCTATAAATGCCGCAGCGGGTACGTTAGTCATCGGGTCAGGTAATTGCGATCCCTGTGAAGGAAACTGAATGGCTGGGGAAGCTTCGGATGATGTCGGTTCTGACACGATCGGACCACTCGGGGGTGATGATGGTCGTGTTTGGGCTGCTCTTTGAGGTGTGGATGTGCGAACTGTGGACATAACTGCAGGAACCATGGCTAGGTCAGGGTCATCCGGTTCAGAATCCCTATTTGGGGTTGACCTTGAACGGGGTTCTGATGGCGGTGACAAACCCGTTGAAGCCATGACACAGCAATGCAACTTTTGCACTCACACGAAGCTAGCTCCACGCGCTTTGAGCAGCGTGTCAAAAGGTGCTACGAGGAGATATCCCTGGATTGGCAGCTGATTGCGACACGCTCAAGTGAGCCACTCAAGAAAATACGTTGCGAAACGCTCAAGTGAGCCACTCAAGAAAATGCGCCCTGCTGCTTTGCACCTGATGAATTCTGTATTTGTAATTGTACTTGTAGATTGATTGATCCGCACTGCCGCACTATGGTGCTTTATCGAGGGATGTTGCCAAGCTGTATTGAGAATTTGTCTGCAAATCGAAGGCTTGTAATTGCAAAAGCTGTACCGCGCAAAGCGACGGTTTTAACGGCTTGCAGCAATGGCTATCGAAGTACCCGGCTGGCGGGCAGCTGGGATGCAGCTCGGTGGATCTCCTCGAGGTACTGCGATGGATGCAGGCCCCTTGCCGCCGGAATGGATTGTCTGTTCCGGGACTCGATGAACTCACCAAGGTTCTCAAGCGCGTTGGCAAATCCGCTCGGACCGAAGTGCGGAAAGTTGCGGAACGCCGCGATGCCTGTCTTTTGAGCTTCACGGACTATCGATGCTGTATCGTCAATAAGGGCGTGTACGCCCAGCCCTTGCAGGGCGTCTGCTTTGCCTCCCCTTCCCAACCGTTCGTGAACGATTTTTATCGCAGAAAAAGTGAGTCCAGATGTTGTCCGCGCGTGCTCCAGGGCGACCTGAAATTCGCGGCGGCGATACTCGCTTGCAGCCCTGCCCACGAAGGATAGCACTATAAAATTTATAGGTGCGTAGTCCGCGGCAAACTGAACGAGATGTCGGATCACTTCCGGGTTGAGGTGGGGTCCCTGCTGCCCAACGTCAAGAACTCCGTGCCAGTCAAGAGCAACAACAAGCTCCTTGGGCGGCACCGGCCTTCCAGGCGGAGGTGGCGGCGGCGGGGGCGCAGGCGGTGCCCTCCTTGGTGGCGAGCGGAATCGCGTGCCAGCTTCAGGAGTTGCAGCGCTAGCAGCAGCTGCTTGAACGACCTGCGGAGGTGGCGGCTTGACGATGTACCCGAATTGTGGCGGGTTTGAGCTCGATTTGCTTCTGGGTTCGGCCTTGTTCAAGCCTCGCGGAGGTGCCTTGTACCCGAATGCACTCTGAGTCCGAACCGGAGATCTGGCCCTTGGCGGTGACTTCCTCGGGATGTCTGCCTTTGCAGGCGCTGGAGAAACTGCCTTGGGGACCTCCTTGGGCAACGGTGGCTTGCTGCCGAAGATGACCTTGGGAGCGGCCTTTGGGGGCGGCGGTTGAACTGCCCCGATTCTTCGGCTGTGAAGCGCGATGGGCTCGGAGTGAGTCGGCGCCTCGTAAACGCGCCGAGGCACGTATGCTGACCTGCCCGTCCTGATGGACTCCAAGTTTTGCGGTGGGTCCTCGTCCGAGCTGTAGGCGTCGAGGCGGAAGGTTTCCGCAGGCGCCGGGCGGCGGTCAGGAGACCGTGAGCGTGAGCTCGTGGAGGACCTCCTTGGCGGGTCCCTCCACGTCTCGTCAGCGAGGAGGTAAGGATCGGCTTGGCGAAGCTGCCCAGACGTCCGTTGCGCTCGCCGACGAGGAGCCGCTTCACGTGGTTGTGATGCCTCCCGCACCAATACCCAGGTACCGTGTTCGTCAAACCTCGTCACAGGGTAAATGCTATTCTGTGGAGCCAAAACAATGGGCCGAGTGGCCAGGGAAGTTCTGGATGGCCTTCCCTCCCGCGCAAGCGCGGGTTCAACACTATGGGCCCGTGGTTCCACAGGGGCAGCAGCAGTTGGTCCTTGTCTCGGTGATGTTGATGGAGACCTCGACCTTCTTGGCGATGGGGACCTCGATCTTTGTGTTGATCGCTCCCTGCTGCTCTCCCGCCGCGTTTCCGCAGCTTTAGCGTATACCCCGCGAAGAGTTGACTTTGCGGCTTGTCTTTCCTCTGCAGATGGCCGAATGCGAGGCAAAGGAGTGCGCGAATCTTGCAACCAGGAGGAAGCTGATGGAGGCGTCGGAGGACGAAGCCAGTCCGCTGCACTGCTTGATGCTCCCGCCGCGCCTGAGGCTGCGGCTTGATCCTGAGATGGCGCACCCTGCGGCAATACCACTCCTGTGGTTTCAACCAATGCGAGACGCTGCTGATAAGCGTTGTCCGCGGCCTGGATCACGTCGAAGGCTTCTTGGTCAAAATTCCACAGGTGCCAACTATCCAGTGACTCACGCCAGGAGAAGAGCGCCTCGACCTGTTGCTTCGAGGCGTCCGCAAACCTGATCCACCGGAATCGTCTGTTCTGCCGCTTGTACTCGTCGACGACGATCTGTTGCAGAGTGTTGTACAATCGGGCACGCGGCCCTTTCCCACCGCGTGTGCCGCGGTGAGGGCCGACTTCCATGTGCGACCAACAGGTCGCAGTCACGGAAGGGTTTGTTTACCCGAAAAGCGTTACGGCTGATAACCACTCAAAGGAGAGGGAAACACAGTTTTGTCAACGACGGGGGAACCCGGGACCTTAAAAGGAACGAACCCCTCCGTGACTGCGACCTCTCCCTTAACCTTGGGGCTAGCGCGGTGCAACGCGCTGTTTTCAGCACTTGAGCCAAAGCAGTGATTGGATCATGCTTTGGCAACCACTTGAATGTACAACATGCAACTGACTACATGAGAGCCTACCTCATGTACCTCTGGGCCATAAATGTCATCGTGATAATTGACTCCATCAACGGTTTTTTGAGAAGCAAAAGGAATCCAAAAGGAACCCAATCAGTTGCAGGGTACCAACGAAGGCTCTGGTTTCATTCCCAACCCATTTCGCGGCTGGGGATCCTAAAGCGGCAGGCCGGTCTTGGGGCGTTCTTCTCCCCTACCAGTGACTACAGGGATCCGGATGCATGAAAAACAGCTGAACATTGCAACCTGTAAATGGTGGTGTCCCTTTCTTTATTTTGGTGTTGAATAAGCGACATGTTTCAAATGGTTGCAAAATGGAGATTTCTTTTAAGGAGCCCTGGAACAGACTAACAACTTGTTGTTCCGAAGGAGTTGCTGAGACAAAGTCAGTATCTCTGACATGGCATCCTTCCAGGGGTGGATTCCGCCTACTTTTCCACCATCGTTCTTTTCCATTTTCCGGCGGTTTCCCCTGGGCTTTTGGATGGTTTCCTGAAAAGAAAAAGATTCGGATCCCTGGGTTCAGAATGGGGACATGGCAGGAACCGCTCGAATCCTCGTTTTTTTCACCGTGGGAAAGGTCAACAGGGGTCTATAAAAGGTGATCACCTTTTGGGACCTCTACTAAAAAATCACCAAAGAGGGAACACCAAAAGGTCAAAAGCTCGGCTTTGAACAACTGAGTTTGGGATTGAAGTGCCGTGTCACTTCCAGCTGGGAAACATTGAGGGGGTCGTTTGGGAGCCGCAAACAAAGTTAGGGCAACCTGGCACCAGGTCGTCCATCAATGGGATTCGAGGTACCACCGCCCAAGAGAATTGACGGGATTTCCCTTTGAAACAGCTCCGACAAACTTGCGGCAAGACCCCTCTGCAAAACAAATGCTGTTTGTCTTCTGGGGCCGATTGGGAAAATCCAACAAACTTTCCAACCAACAGGTTGTTCAGCCCAAATAGCCATAAAGAAAAGTTTTGCCTCAACACCAAAGCTACCGCGAGACCTATCTCTCTGCTTCGGGCCTCGCTTCTTGCGGCTGCTTTGCTGGCGACCGAGCTGGACTCCTGAAACAGCGGCAGTAAAACCACTTCCATGGATAGGAACCAAATAAACCTTTCCACAAGATACCCTGACCTGACCTTCCCACAAAATAACCCTCTTCATTAGGAATTGACGCCCTCAAAATAAGGTCAGGCCAGACCCTGTGACCTTGATAAAAAGGGAAGGGGGGCATCGTCTGGGGTCGCGGATTGGCCAAAACAAGCTGAAGCTCGGCGTTTGCTTGTCCGGGACCCAACTCCATGTTGCATTCCCCTACAGAAAATGGACTCAGAAATGGAGATCTCCAGGGGTCGCCCCTGGGATGCGTTTATCAAGCACATGGCCTGTCCAAAAAGTAGAAAGCCCGCCTAGGTCCTGCAGATTGGGTACCTTTTTTCTGTAGTCTACTTTAGTAGGGGAACCAAACCCCCCCCTCAAACAAGAATCGGTAAAAGGGCACCTAGCTGGGGGACCTAGAAGTCGATTTGCCCCGGGTTTGGCGGGTTTAAGGCGTCAGTGGCTCTCTCAGGTTCCTCATGATCCCAATGTTTCATTGGCGGAGTCATACTCACCCCAAAAGTGATCCTAGGGTTGCGCACCGGTTCGCTTGAATTGCGTCAACTTGCTTCCCCCAAACGCATCCAGACCTGGTGAGGGATTCGCGAGAGACTCACGAAAGCAACTCCCCATGCACGTCTCCAACATCGCCCTCTGGCTTTCTCCTAAAAAAGGCACACACACACACGTCGAAATTCGTTCAAACCCCAGTGGCTGGTGATGGGCAACCTCCATTGTGCTCTCGTTCAGCAGTGGGTAAATGGGGTCATCCCCTGTATGTTTGCGATCCGTCCCTTAAGCGACAGATCGCCTTCTGTTCCTCCCCTCTGTTCCTCCACCTTCCTCTGCCATGTTGGTTCGGACATGGGAAAAGCGAAGGCGCCGGTAGTCCGGTGTCAAGAGGCCGATTCAATGGCTCCTGCCCCCCCCCCGGCAAAAAGGAAAGAAAGAAACAATGAAAAAAAAAGCAAGAAACAACAAGAGAAAAAGAAAGAAAGAAACAACAACAGAAACAACAAAGCAGAGGACAACCTTCCCAAAACTACAGAGGGCAGCCCGGAAGGAAACCAACACAGAGCCGCCTTCCCTCCATTTCCCCCCCCCCCGTCCGGTGGCGATGAGGAAGAAGATGGTCGTCAGCACCGAGATCAGCGGCAGCAGAGCAAGACCCACCGCAAAGACGAAGGTCTGGCGCCAAAAAACGCGAATCCAAGGCGCGCGAATTCGTCCCCTGGCTCCAAGGTTTTGGGGGGGGGGGGGGGCTTGGGGTTTGGCTGCATGTAAAAAGCTAAACAAAAAGCTAAACACTGTACGTATGCTTAAAGACTTATGGAAGCACGGGGTCTGAACATGTGCTATGTTTTAGCTAGCTTCCGCCGCTCTTCCGCGGAGCTTGCGCGATTCGAGCCCTGCTCAAATCGATAACCAAAAAACTGGAGAGGCCAATGCCCTGAGTGGTGGTAATTTACGCGTAAAACATTTTTTTTAATCACTCACAGCATTGGTTTCTGGAGAAAAAATAAGAAGAAGAAGAAGAAGAAGAAGAAGAAGAAGAAGAAGAATAATAATAAAAAAAACGGTCAGAGACTCTCACGCGGGTGTTTCTCAAAATAACGGACTTGTCTTGGTTAGTACTTAAATGGACACCAAAAGGAAACCAGCCACTTTTCGGGGACCCCGTTTTGATCATTTCCGATCTGTTTGATTCTCCATAGTCAGCCTTAAAAAGTATAGCTTCGGGGTTGAAGGCCTCAGGTCCTGGGTGTGTCTCTTTTGCCGGGTACCCTGTTGAAGTGCTTGGACGTGAATTGTAAGTAGAGACCCTGTTGGCTTTTGGTGGACATCGTGGTGGGGATTCATGTCCAACCACAAATGAGGTGGTTCCCTGTTAAAAAAGTCATGGCCACTTATGACTTGTGCAGGGAAATGAGAAAAAGGACAACGGCTCCCCCACGAAAGAAGCTCTGGGGCACCCAGATGTTGAGAACGCATCCAAATGGATGTGCCCTTTGCTCTCTAGGTCGGACCGCTCCAACAAGGTGTTCTTTCTCGGCCTCCATTTGAAACCCACCAAAAACAGGGTACCCTCGAACAAAGACCGACCTGACCGCTTCCTCGCAAGAGCATTCCGAACCTCCACCCCGGGTCGCTCGGCTTAAGGCCCGAGTACATCCGAAGCCGGATCCGGCCAATCAGAGGACGGGGTGCGAGATCTGCTCCGCTAAAAGTTTCTAACCTTTAGTGGCTTAATTCGGCAAACCGGTCGACAAAAAGCGAAAGTCCTAACATCCATGGGCTTAAAATGCGCCAAAGAGAAGACAAATCCAGCACATCCGATGCCGTGGGGCATCACCCATGCTCCAGGGGTTGATTCCTTCTCCATTCTTCTCAGCCCATCCGGCCCATCCTTCTGTTCAGAAACCGATCCCCATTTCCCCAGTTTTTTTTCGGGTGGTTTTCTAGATGTTTTTCGGATCCCTGGGTTCAAAATGGAGAAGCTACCCCCATGCCTCCTTGCTCATGGAGTCCAGGTTGAACAGACAGTCAGGACCTGCGCTCGTTTCTATGCAGCTCTTTTGGAAACCCGTGCTCTTACATTTGCTTAGGTCCCTTGGGGGAAAATAATGATGAAAAAAAGTCCAGGGGTGATTAACTTCGCTTTGAAACCAGGGGAAAATGATGAAACTAGTAAGAATAATAATAACAACAACGTCGTAGGCAATGGACGTGTTGGCCCGTTTCTCCAACAAACATGGCGAAAACAGCGAGGAACATGTGAAACATGGAGCAAAAGGAGGTTGTGGCAAACCAAGCGGGCACAGGGTATAGGTCGGGAATGGCAGATTTTAGTCAGGTTTTCCCCAAGCCCCATTACTTCTTTGTTTAAGGTGACGACCTCCAATGCTTTATACTGTGGACGGACGATATTTTTTCGCACTGCCCAAGCATCCCCCGTGAATACCAACAAACAATGGTGCAGGATTTCGTCCATCCACAGTATGGTTGAAATGATACCCTCCGGAAGTAATTTGTGTCCACTTGCACAGGCCCGTTTATTGGGATCTTCACCATGGTTCCTATCATGGGCTTGTTCCAAAAGGTGGGGAGAACCAACCGGAAAGGCGAAATCCGGTGTGAGGGTCCCCTATGTTGCCACATGCCCATAAGCCATGACCATTTTGGGCCGTGACTGGTGTCCCATAAGTAAGCCAGCGGGCTACTTCGCCGACGGTTTTTGCAAAATTGGCTGCAACCAAATGTTGGCCCCAAAGAACTAGCCGTCACTGGTTTTGAGACTCCAAGTTCCTTCTCTCGTTGCTTTGTCATACCTGGGTTGGTCGTTTGCAAAAAAAATGACCGGCTTTTTGCCAGCTAGCGGGGAACCATGTTCCAGGCTCAAAGATGGCTTGAGTGAAACCAAAGAGCTCCCGCACGGCTGCCTTTTTAGCCCTGATCATGTCACTGTGGATTGACGAAATCCTGCAGCGCTGAAGAAACCTGGAATGAGTTCGCTGCACATACTAACAAACAATGGCTTCAACCCCGGTTTCAAAGTGGTGCGAACGGATTTTGAGTATAACCCTCCCGGTTTGTGTATGTCCAAGGCGAAATTAGGGTATGCTGTTCCGGAATCCCGGGAGCCGGTTTCTACCTCAACCTTTGTCCCCGCCTGCGCAAGCCCTGAAGGAGGTGAGTCAAGCAATCAGCGCGTCCGGGGTTAAACGGGGATTTTGTGGGTTGATTCTCTCATTAGCTACTCAGCACCAGCAAGGTGAGTGAATTTCTTTGAGGGCACCGCAGGCTGTTGCCAGCGCAAGAAAACAAAGCCGAGTTGTTTTTGCTTTACTTTGTTCAAGCCACTTAGCACCACTGTTTGATTTTTTGAGGGGCGGGGGGCGGGGGGGGGGGGAACCGGTCATTGGAAAAGTATGTACATGTTACCAATATGTTCAAAACCTGAACTAACGCGTTTCCAGGTAAAGGATCTTTACCATAGTTTTTGCTGGTTTTACCCCTGAATCGGGGAGCTCGCCATAAATTAAGCACACAAATGATCAATTCCTGAGTGGGTTGGCAATAATCTGAACAACTTGTTCCACGCCTAAAATAGTCTAAACCGAAAAAGGTGGCAAAAGGAGCGCAGAACATCAAATGACCCGGGTTGATCACTGGGGCTAAAGGAATATTGATCCACTCAGGCTGCTATCCTTCCCGCCTAAGATGGTGTGGAAGGGATAGAGCACCACGTCGCTGACGGTCTGCAGAAAGTTGGAGCTGTAGTAAAGACCACCAATCTCAGCCAGAGTCGCTCTGGAGGCGAAAACTGAAGCCCTCCGGTAGAGAGGTTAGAATAAGGGCACCTTTTTTCCTGTAGTCTAGTTTAGTAGGGGAACCCTCCCCCAAACAAGGGTAAAAGAGCACTACTGGGGGACCTAGTTGCCGTCCGGGCTGAAGGGGTCCTTACGAGAAAAATTGGGCTTGTCCAAAATATGTTGACCTTTTTTTGGGGCCTGGTGCCGCCGGTGCGTGTTTAAAGGGGATACCAAAAAAGGGCGCCCTACTTTTCACAAACCTTCACAGATCAAACTTCTGGCCTTCTCGGAACATGAATGGGCTCTGTGGCCGAAGTCCAGTTCAGGCAAATCCCCATTCTGGTCTTGCGGGATTTTACCAACTACTTCCATTTGTTGTTTGAATCGCCGCCTGGAAAGATGTAGATGTCCAGTAGCGAGAGATCACCTTTAAGATCAACCAGGGAAAAAACCGGAGACATGAAAGACCTAGGCTAGAATTAGGACCCCAGCAAAACAATATATTTCTTGCCTGGTTGGTGGAAAACAAAGGGACCCCAAAAAAGCAAAAAACAAACAACCAGGGAAGCTAATTCAGAGACTACATCCTGCGGCGAAGCTCAAGCCTTTGGAACTCCAAGGATGGCCCCGGCTTTGGGAAAAAACAATGCAGCCAGCCCATTTCAAGCCCTACGCCCACAAAGCATTCAAGGGCATTTTATGCGACCGTTGATTGGTTGTCCTTCTTGGGAAACGCCTATCCTTTTTTGCACTGGCCAAGTCTTTGTGGGGAACTTTTTGTTTTCATCATCCAAACTTTCTGGTCAACCCTTCTCCCCTTTCTTTCTAACCCTTTACCTTATCCTTTTCCCCCTCCATCTCTGTGGCCGCAACCTACTGCAACTGCGCCAAGCAACGGTTTAGGGTGGGTTTAAGGTGGGATTTAGGGCAGGTTTAGGGTTGATGCATGCTGGGGTTCGCATAGGGTGGCTTTGACGCTGCGAGGGGTGGCTCGGGGTCGCTGAAGGGCGGCTTAGGATTGCTTGGAGATAGGGGTTTTCTTTCGATTTGCGGTTAGTGCTGGGCCCAGTAGGTTGTTGCGGGTTTAGGTTGGAATTAGGGTTGTTTTTTTGGGTCGGTTAGGGCTAGCTTTTGATTAGTTTACACTTATTGGGTTTTAGGGGTTGGTGAAAGCTTAGTTCTCAGGGTTATTTGCAAAGAGACGGTTGTCCGTAAAATCCTGCAAAAAAGGGATGGATTTACACTGTCCCAAATGCAGGGATTATCTGAGGTACGAAGGAAGTGAGTGAGAGGCCGTGATGAAAGGAACGGGAGAAGCTTGGAGACGGAAAGAGGTTCATATGATTGCCCGGCTCCTGCTCTCGCCTATGACTTTCCTTTTGATGATCACGAAACCTGGATCACGCCAAGCTTGTGTTCTTGCGAGCTGAGCAATCTTGCGTGGCGAGGACTGCCGACAACTAGAGCGTTCTCAACGGACTGTGGCAAGGTCGCGCCTGAAAGGGTGCCCCCGCCCCTTTTGAAGGCGGCGGGCGACAAGAGCGCCAACTTCAAAAAGAGGACAGCGGGTGACCTCCGCTTCCATGCCTTCGGCGCGACAAAGGTGAGCTCGTTTTACTTCAGTAATTATAAACCCTGCGCAACAAATGCCCATCCGAACAAACAGCCGCCGGGTCTCGGGGCAGGAAAGGCCTGGAGAAGTTGCCGGAGGCTTTTGAAGACCGCAGGTTTCCCACCTGCAACCTGAGCAGCGCCCAAAGCTCGTGAAAGATTTGCTGGGCTGTGACTTTTCATTCAAAAACAGTTTGGGGGACCATTTTTGGGCGAAAAAGGCAACTTTTTCGAGTTCATGGCAATTCACAGCCGCATGGGCTGACGCGCAATCCGCGGCTGCCGACAGCCGAATTTGTCTGGCCGGCATCCAGACTTTGCCCACAAAACTGTGCTCCTTTTTGCCGAGCGCTTTGTCCAGCACGGCGTAAGGATCCAAGACGCGATGCAGTGTCAGCCGGTGGCGCAGGCTCGCGGAACTGCGATCTGCGTTACGCCGGAGGCCGCTCTGCCTCAAAAGCGTGTGCGCCAGAGCGACAACGAGGGCTGGGGCGTACTTCTTCGGGCAATCGTTTGCAGCGTGCGCGTGCGCGCGTTCAGTTCGATTGCCCGAAGCATAGTGCCGTCCGCTGCGGGGTCGTTCGAATTCAATGCAGCGAGCTGTGCCTTTTCGGCCACAGCGCACACGATGCCTCGCACAGGCATCGTGTCGACCCCGAGGAAAAAATGCTGAAAGCCGCTCAAACTAGACACTGCGTCTTTGGGCGTCTTGGCGATGTGGGCTTTGACTCATGAGGCCGCCCGCGTCAGCTCGGGGATTTCTGAGCCCTCAACAGTTGCGTGCAACAGCGCGAGCAGGGGCGGACTGTTCAAAACCATGAAAGGGTCACCGTCGCAGTCCGCCCCTCAAATTCCACATTTTCCAGGCCCCTAAACCTTTGCGCGTGCAAATGAGCGTATATTTTGGGATGTAATGCGCCTCATCTGGAAGCGGGACAGCTTCCCACACTTGCACGTCCCACGGCTGGAGCATGGGATAGCTCCAGACCGCGAATTCGCCAAGCCACACGTTGCCATTCACAACGATGTGGCATTTGCGGTCCTGGCGCGAGCCGACAGTCGCGCATCGAAAACAACGCGAGCCCGAAAGCGGCTTGCTTGCGAGAGTTTGTTTCAAACGACAGCCGAAGTGCGAGGGAGCCGATTCGGCCCGAACTCCCGCCCGACTTGTTTCTATGACGCGATCACCTTTTTTGCGGGTAGGCTTGTCAGGGCAGGTCGTCTTCCACATTGGGTTCGTAGCGCAGCTGGATCTGCAAGTTGTCGCCCGCGCTGCCAAAGTGGAACCGAGGTCGAGCCCTGTCTTGCTGCTTGACCAGGGTTGGCAATCACAGCAAAAAAGCACCCACCCTCTTTCTCCCAAGAAGACCAATCCAAGTATCCAAGCTGGCAATCATGGCCTAGAGAGTTGCTCGGCATCCTCCAAGTTCTCAGCGATTGCCAGAGTCAAAAGATCCTTCTCCTTGGCATCGGCCACTTTGTGCGTGGCAACTCACTACCACAAAGGATTGAAAGCTGGATCTCAACAATTAAAACATTTTGTTCAAGCTGGGTCTCTGTGCCGGATTCATGTTTGGTTGCACCGTTAAAACCATTATGCAATGTACGGGCGATAAAAAGTTTCCAGCAAACGTCAGCTCGTTTGGCAGCTTGGCGCGCTCGAACCCGCGCATTTGCTCGTGCATTATGAGTGTGTTTCGTTTTGTTTTCTTGAAGAACGTGGCATGGAGGTTCAGAAGTTCGGTATGAAATTTGGGAAGTGAACGAAGGGGATACAGCAAACAAGGTCACTAACATTGCAAACGTTTGTCGCAACAAACCATGGTGAACAAAAACAAGCTGGATCTCTCCGCCGGGTTCATGTCTGGTTGCGCCGTGGAAAACCATCGGGCAATGTAGGGGCGATAACAAGTTTCCAGCGATCGCCAGCTCATTCCAGCAGTGGTTTTTGCGGAAGCTTCCAGGTGCCCACGCGGACGCCTAACTACGCCGGCAAATTTTCACTTCAAGTGTCGAGCTGGACTTTGGCAGCTCCAGCTGGCAAATCGCAACTTTGCAGTACAAGTGCTGGTTTGGCAGCTCCGGCTCTAAGATCACCTTTGCAGTCAAGTGAGAACCCCTCTCCATCTGTCTAAGGATCTGGCTGCTAGAAAAGGTGCTATGCGTGCTGAAAATGCCTTGAAGGCCTACTCGAACGCCTTGAAGGCCCACGCGAATGCCTACGCGGGGCCTACGCGCAGCCTATGCAAAAACTGCAGAACAAACAGAAGGAATGCAAAAGACAAACTCCTTTACATACTTGGCAAGCAGCATTTAGGCAGCCTACGCGCAGAAGCCTATACGCGAGCCTACGCCCCCAACCAGGATTGCCTCCACAAATTACATGCGGTTCCCTTTTTGTACAAGCCGCTGCTCATTTGGCAGCTTGGCGTGCTTGAACTCCGAGCACGCCAAGCGCGTCCCGCGAAGCTACTCGTGCATCATGGGTAGGTTGTTTTTTATTCTTTCTTGAGTAAAACGTGGCATGGAGGCTCAGAATTTCTAGGGTCCGAGTTGGGGGGGGCAACAATGTAGATGAAGTGAACTGGAACAAGTTGTCAATTGCAGATTCCCAGATTCAAATTTGTGAAAGTGCAAGATCTGTGCAAGACTCTTGCAAACAAGTGTTGTATTTCCACCCCGCCTCACCCCACCCCGCACCCTACACCCTACACCCTACACCCTACACCCTACACCCTACACCCTACCCTACACCCCACCCCACCCCCCACCCCACCCCACCCCACCCCACCCCACCCCAAGCTAGCCAACTCACAACTTCACTCCCCAGGTCTTTACTGAACCTCGTGGAGCTTTTCATCTCGACTTCTACTAGGTCCTCCAATAGAGAGGTTGGAACAAGGCTACCCTTTTTTCTGTAGTCTTTTAGTAGGGGAACCGTGCCCCCAAAAAAAGGTGAGAAAGGGCACCTAGCTGGGGGACCTAGTAAAGTTTTCTTCCGTCTAGTTCTCGGACTTCACTTGTTTGGCTCCGCCTTCTGCTCCTTGTGCTCGTTCCTCTTTGAACCAATCTTCAGCTTCATTCAATGATTGCTTCTCTTTTCTTTGCACCACCAACCTTCAGCTTCCTTGATGTTGTGTGTTTGTTCGTTTTTTTTCTTCCCCTGTTCGATTGCTTCTTTGCTTCGTTGCTGCTAAAAAGCTTTCGATTTCTTCTCTTGCTTGCCGTTTCTCGCTTTTGCTGCGCTCTTGCATTTGACTCACTCCGTCTTCTTCTTTTTCTGGACAAGGTCTTGCAGGGCCCACTTTGATAGCCCTGGACAGGACCTTGCAGGAAGAATTTGATGGATTCTGTGGCTCTTTGTCTTTCTCCTCTTTCTTCTTCTTCTTCTCCTCTTTCTTCTTCTTCTTCTTCTCTCTCTTCTTCCTCTTCTTCTTCTTCTTCTTCTGTATTTCTTCCTTCCTCTATCTTTACTTTTCTTTTCATGCCTGTCTTTCTTCCCTCTCTCCTTCTTTTCTTCTTTTTTGTTACTTGTCCCATGAGGCTCCCCCGCAGGGCCAGGTTCCCACTGCACCGTAACCGCCTGGCTTCCCCGAGCCAGTTCCGGGCCCCAGGGACCGCGGGTCTCTGCACCAACCCCCGTCTTCCTACAGGAATCCGCGCGCTGCGAAGCTAGACTCGCTGAAAAAATATACACACATATGTATATATATATATATATAAAAACACGTTCTACACGCCAAAGAAAGAGAAAAACACTTTGTTAGTCTCACAGATGTGCAGTGGAAAGAAATTGCCACCAGCGCAACTTTGTGACAGTTCTATTCGCTTGACTCCCTCCCCGTTGACGGAACCGAGAGCTCCAAAGGAACAGGTTCCTGGGGAACAAAGGGAAACAACAACTCTGTGATTCACCCATGAGGTTTGTGGCTGGCTGTTCACTTGCAAGATGTTATGAAATCTGGCTGTACAGGGTCACTCTTGGTTGCCAAGCGGTGTCGGAGCCGTGTTTTGAGGTTAGGAGCAACCTGCAATGAGAACCCGGAATTATAAACCTCCGCAATCCATTTGGGTCTGTCTATTTTTTGGTAGTTTAAAGGGAAACCACAAGGAAAACCGACGCCCTTTTTTTGGGGGTGGGTCCCGAAAGAAAGACACACCCATTTTGGGACGTCCATTTTGGAACTTCCTCCATCCACAGTATGAATCCGCCAGGTTCTAGTCCGAAAAGCTCGCGTTGCAGCGGAGCAAATCTGCCAGTAGTTCAGGATGCGCTTCCAGATCATGCCGTGCGCGGTTGCCTGGCCAGCAAAGCGGTTTTCCCTCAAACATCACCATATGGATGGGTCAAAACCTGCTCATGTTCACAGCCGATTCATCAACCCCCTGGTTGATTCATGAGGGGTGGTCGTTTTTAGTGGGGTATCAAAGAGGCCTACCCCAAACAAGCACAGAGCCTTTCTCTTTTGGCCGCTGAGCGGCTGCCAAGCTTCTGGTTGAGATGCCCCGTGCTAACCTTCAGGCCTTGAATTTGTGGCGACCCTGTGGCCATGCATTGGCCGTAATCTGAGTCCGGCGGTTTCCAAAGCGCTCTGCACTGACTATAACTCAGAAACCCGAAAAAAAATCCCTTACAGCCTGGGACTAGCGCCAAACAACTGGAATCACACCCTGCGCCCTTTTGAGCGCACACCTGTTGTCCAGTTCTAAGGGAAAAGGGAAACCGACGAGAAACCCCCAGCTCTCGAGACCCCAAACTGCATCAGCCAAGCAATTTTTTACTTGTTTTTCCCTGTTTGTCCCCCATGTCCTCCCATGTCCTCCCAAAACCACAAGCAAATGTAGGTTGTCCCCCATGTCCCAAAAAAGCAACAACTTTGATCTCGTCAGCTCATTCATAGTCCTCTCATGGGCTCAGATGGTCAGAATTCAAGACCACAAAGAGCACGTGCCACTCTTCTGTAAAACAAAAAATACGGCTGTCACAAACCAAACGCTTGACCGGTCACAAGAGTCAAAGTTGCACCAGTGCGACGGGTTCAAAGCTCGGAATCCACGGAAAAAGTCACACGGTGCCGGGAATCTCAACCCAAACCTCTGGCCGGCAGCCGTGCTTTGTACGTTCTTGGGTATCTGTGTGCTTCTAAATGGATCGCATATGATCCTTTCAAACACAGGGGGTCCTAAACTCAGAATCTTTTCCAGGTCCTCCAGTAGAGAGGTTAGAATAAGGGTACCCTTTTTTTCTGCAGTCTACTTTAGTAGGGGAACTCTCCCGGTGAGAAAGGGCACTACTGGAGGACCTACGCAAATTGGAGTGAATAGCCAATTCCAATCCACATTCTCTCTCGAACAATTACAACCAAACCCCTTTCGTAACTCAAGGATTTACGAATTGCCTTTGAACAGCGCAGCAAGAGCTGAGCATAAAAACCCAAAAACTCGCATCGAATCGGCGGTTTTGAGTGGCCCTGGAGCTCCAGGTTAAACAACCTCCGTTTTGAGCTGAACGTTCTTTCGGCGGGCAGCGTTGTTTGGTTTCTTGCGGAAAAACTGCGGGGAGCCAAAAGTCACGAGAATGGACGATCAAACTTCTCGGTTTCGGCCTGTGCTGTCACGGCCACCAAGAAGAAGACCGCTCCCACGTAGATGATCAAGATCACCTGAGCCACCCTAGGAACTTCTCAGGATGGTATAAACAAACCTACGGGTCGACCCTCCTAGGCCAAGCGATCGCGTCTTATGGTCACACCTGAGCCGACTTATAACATATTAAAGATTTCAATGTGAACAAAAAGACTTGTCCCTTACGAAGATCCACCAAGGAAACTCACCTTACAGCCCTAAAGGGGTGATGTTTAACACCGCTGAACCTTTTGGAGACCCCCGACTTAGAATAAACCTGATCGGGCCTTTGGGGCTTTTGTGTGAGAACTGGGCCAGCCCCTGGGGCCCCTTCTCAGCCTCAAATCTTCAGCAAAAATCAGGGACACGAATTGCACCCCACGGGTAGGTCCAATACTTGGGGCACGAAGTCTTTGACATGTCCCTGGCTTTGTTCTCAGGTTCTGTTGACCCTTTCACCTATGAATTCATGTATGAATTCATGTGATCGTTCATCTCCCATTTTAGACTTAGCCAATACAAAACCAAGTCTAAGCCAGCCAATTTCCCACCCACCCGAACCAGTCGGGTTAGGAGACACTTTGGAAGCAATACTAAGCCAATTCTAGATCAATACTAAACCACTTCGAAACACACGTCCTCAAACTTACTTGGAAACCACCATTTGAATCATGTCCTGGAAAGGAAGATTGAAACCATGAAAAGAAAGTGCAGCTGAGAGGACCGTCGCTTAAGAAGTTTCATCAGAATTGAGTCAACCACCATTAAGGGTGTGGCTGAAAATCAAAGAGCTAGGCCAGGGTTACACAGGTGTTGACCGTTGGTTCTGTTTGCCAAGATGCCATTTTGGTACATTTCATTGAGCCACTGCCTCATTATCATGGGGGCAAAGAAAGCACCCGCTTGTTTCAGCAACCAGGGCTTGAGGCCGCCTGAGCATCAGGGATTGCGCCCGTGTCTCCTGGAATCGATTCCAACTTCACCATTCAAAATCACCAATGTCCTTTTCAGCCAGCGGGCGGGTGTCTTGAGGCCAGCAATTTCTTGGGTTTCGGGAAGATGGAAGCCAGGTCCTCCAGATTTGCGAGGTTTGAACAAGTTGGTACCAACGACTTTCTCTTCTGTAGTCTACTTTGGTAGGGGAACCGAATCTCCCCCCAAAAAAAGCGAAACGATAAAAACATTTGCCCCCATTTCTGGGGGCCCCTTTCGGAAGCGACCCATTTCCCCCCCGGTAGTCTCTCGCGCTCCGACCGCTCCGAACCCCGCTCCGAGGGCGGGCGGCCGCCAGCAGGCCCCGCGGCAGGCAGCTGCCGCACTTCAGGTAGTTCCGCACGAAGCCCACGTTGGTGCTGCCTGGCGTCGGAGAAAAATCCACCAAAGCTCTCTCTGGGCGGCGGTCCGAGGCGAGCGTCTTTTTGTGTGTGTTAACTTTGTGAGTGTGTCTTCGTGCTTTGTTGTCTTTGTTGTCTTTGTTGTTCTTTCATTCTCTTTTTTTACTTCTCCGCAAGGCGAGCGCGAGACGGGGAGAGAAATAAACAACACGCGGAGTGGGGGAAAGTGGGGGGAGAAATCGGACACCCAAGCACTCAACCAAGTAAAGAAGGCCGAAAACATTTGAGGAACTGGGGATGGCTGGGAACGACCAAGGACATCAGAGAAGATTTGAAGGGATGCACTTCTTGTTCAAAGGATAGAAAGCCAGGCGAGAAAAGCCCTGGCCTCCGCGCTCCAAAGCGTGTTTTTCAATGTCACCCTCCCCTAGTCCTTTTGCCCCGTGACCACCCCAGCCACTACCAAGGGTGTACTGGGATATACAGGCACTGAAAAGCCACTCGAAGTACTTATATAAGTTTTTTTGATTGTTTTACGGTTCCCCTGGAGGTAGTGTTTTTGTGGATATGAGGACCATCTTAGACTTGTAACACGGGGGCGCCCCTTTGTCAAACCTACGTAGGTAACCAGCCAGCTACACGGGTAAATACCATTGGGACAGGTTCCAAAGTCATATCGCAAAGTTTGTATCCGTCTCAAAATGAAGGTGTTTTGAGGGAGTGAGTCTTCCAGTCAGAAGGGCGACATGGGGTGGGGGGGGGTTGACATATGGCACCAAATTAAAGTCAGCACGAAACCGCGAACCTATGCAAACCTTCCATGAACACCTCCCTTCCAGACAGCCTTGCGCGCACGGTTTGAAGAATACTGCCCCTTGTGGCTAGGTCAATGAGCGTGTAACCAACACGTAGAAGTGGGCTCGTCTGAAGCTCTTGGTTGATACTCAAAATGCACCTGGCTTCTCATGTTGAGAGACACTGAAATGATTTCTTGGTTCCCCCGCTAAGTGGACAAATCCAGCCGGCCCCTGCGTCCTCTCCAGACCAATCATATGCAAAATGATGTAGCAAACATGCAACCACATCAACAAACGACCCTGGTGAGCATGGAAAGAGTCTAGGTCCTCCAGTAGACAGGTTAGATTCAGGGTGCCGTTTTTTTTTGTGGTCTATTTTAGTAGGGGAACCCCTCCCAACCAACAAAGAAACGGTGAGAAAGGTTGCACCTAGCTGGGGACCTAGCCTTTTCCCCAACCTAAAGGGAACGCCCTTTGGACGATTTCTGCGCGGCAAGGAACACCCAAGACCGAAGGAACGATACGCCAAACGATTCGGTCCCACCTGGCAAGCAGCTATGGCAGAGAATCCCACTGTTGGTGCCCTCGGACGTCAGTCCGGGCTGAATCTGTAACGCGTAGCGGGCCACTAAGGGAAACAGGAAACCCGTGTGGCTGCTGATTCTTCTGAGGCCCCTTGTTTTTGGTGATATATTTTTTTCCGGGAAACCAAAAGCAAGAAAAAAACAAACATGTTGCGGGTTCGCTCATTTTTTGGCATACGGGTGGCTTGACTTTGCACGTCACATTCCGACCGCTGCCAATGGAGGCCGCAGGTTTGGCAGCTTGAACTATTCGGCGCATGGCAATGATCCAGGGTGGTAAGTCGGGGGAAGAGCCAGGAAGGTCCTTTACCAGAGATCCCTGGTCGGGTTCTGAGGTCACTGTATACCCTGGTAAATGGAAAAGTAGACTAAAACCTGCGGTCAATATATTCCTGGTGGTTTGATTTTGACCCATACCCACATGGAAGCAAGCCTCAACCTATTTGGTTTCAGAGCTCGTGATATGGACGACAAGTCCCCGCAAGGAGGCTGGGGGAGGGGGAGCCATCAAAAAGGACATGGGTTGCCATCAAGGGAACTCTGAAGGAGGGAACTCTCCCCCAAGTCCATCCCCAACCAGTCAACGCGTTGTTCTCTGGCAAGACTCTGGGTATCCTTCCAAGAAGCTTGGGGTGATCGCTTGGGTCCTGACTGTGAGCCCCAACATGGAAAACACAAAGCCCGGTGCAGTCACCCTGGTAGAAAAGGGTCAACCCCCTTTTGGGGTTGACCATTTTGAGAAGGGAAGCCGACAACTTGCAAAGTGTTTCCCTGGATCTTAGGCCTCAGAAATAGGTTGAGACCCCAAAAACCGGTCTTTTTGTATGTGGAACAAGCTGAATTCAGCCCGACTGGGGTGCTTGAGTTGGCAAAGGGACACCCACATCACGCCGTTTTGCTGGCCAAAAGCCGCAAGCGGCGCATCGATTCAGATGGAATGGCTTTCGATGGCTTGCTACTGATGCACAAAGCTAAATGGCCATGGGCTTTTCAAAATCCAAATCGTACTGGTGAACATACCAATCCCACTAAAATAGGCTTAAATGGGTGGTGAATTCACCTACCAACCAAAATGGGATCCCATTGGTTTGACAACCACAGCCAAATAAAGCGGCCAGAGCATGGAGAAGGCTTGGCGGTTGACCCCTCTTCAGGTGAATCACCTTCTGTGGTCCATCTGTACAAGTCCCCAAGCTTTCTCAACCGAAAGCTTGAAGTCCAAAGATGCCAAATAGACAGAAAGAAGGATCCATTGCAGTCTGGAGTTTCTTTCTGTCCATTTCAGATCCGAAGCTCAAAGCACTTGTTGTCGCCCACGCAGAGATCGGGCATGCAAGCCACAAAGAAGAGCTGCTGCTGAGGATGTCCGTCCAGCCTGGAAAGGGGCTTGGAAATTCATTCTGAGCTGATCTCTCACACTTGTGAATGCTGAGCCATGTCTGTCACACTCAAACCCAGGTATTCAAATGGTCGCAATCTCAGAACTATGTATATAAAGAATTAAGGCGGCGGATATCCGCACCTATTGATGGCAAGGGGATTGTCCCTCACTAACCTTCATCTACCCGAATCGGTTTTGAGCAAGTGGCTTAGGCGGTCAAATCGAGGCTGAAAGCCCTGCAGAAAGGGTTGGCCCGAGAGCCTACTTCTGACTGCACTCAACACGTGAGCGGGCCCAAATTCTCGGCTCTGGCAGGCATTCCCATCGCGTCTTGTTCGGTAAATTGTGGAAAGTTTTTTTTTTCCCCGGAAGCATTGCGAAGGGTTCTTCTTCTAAAAGCGGCTGCCAACTTCACCTGCCAACTTCTCATGCCAACTTGTCGAGAGTTACTTCACCTGCCAACTTCTCATGCCAACTTGTCGAGAGTTACTTCACCTGCCAACTTCTCATGCCAACTTGTCGAGAGTTACTTCACCTGCCTACTTCTCATGTCAACTTTTTGAGAGTTACTTCACCTGCCAACTTCTCATGTTAACCTTTTCGGCTGTTATCTCATTCTACTAAAAGCACAAGCTAATTTGTCGGGTGTTACTTCACTATCCTAAAAACACAAGCTAACTTTTCTGTTCTACCTAAAGCACAAGCTAATTTGTCGGGTGTTACTTCACTATCCTAAAAACACAAGCTAACTTTTCTGTTCTACCTTCACTTCTCGACTCTTAATTCTTCTTCTTTTTATGGCGGGGGTAGGCCCGACGGGAGCTTACGAAACGCACCCCTCTGCGGAGATCGTGCGTGTCGAAGCGCTCTCGCTGTGGCGCCGTGCGAATTTGTCTTGACCTTGGCGAACCCTCTGCGGAGATCGTGCGTGTCGAAGCGCTCTCGCTGTGGCGCCGTGCGAATTTGTCTTGACCTTGGCGAACCCTCTGCGGAGATCGTGCGTGTCGAAGCGCTCTCGCTGTGGCGCCGTGCGAATTTGTCTTGACCTTGGCGAACCCTCTGCGGAGATCGTGCGTGTCGAAGCGCTCTCGCTGTGGCGCCGTGCGAATTTGTCTTGACCTTGGCGAACCCTCTGCGGAGATCGTGCGTGTCGAAGCGCTCTCGCTGTGGCGCCGTGCGAATTTGTCTTGACCTTGGCGAACCCTCTGCGGAGATCGTGCGTGTCGAAGCGCTCTCGCTGTGGCGCCGTGCGAATTTGTCTTGACCTTGGCGAACCCTCTGCGGAGATCCTGCGTGTCGAAGCGCTCTCGCTGTGGCGCCGTGCGAATTTGTCTTGAGCCCGATGAACCCTCTGCGGGGATCGTGCGTGTCGGATCGCTCTCGCTGTGGCGCCGTGCGCATCTGTCTTGAGCCCGATGAACCCTCTGCGGAGATCGTGCGTGTCGAAGCGCTCTCGCTGTGGCGCCGTGCGAATTTGTCTTGAGCCGGCGAACCCTCTGCGGGGATCGTGCGTGTCGAAGCGCTCTCGCTGTGGCGCCGTGCGAATTTGTCTTGAGCCCGAACCCTCTGCGGAGATCGTGCGTGTCGAAGCGCTCTCGCTGTGGCGCCGTGCGATTTTCTTGCTCGCGAAACGGCTTTTGGAAGTTGTCTCGTGGTGTGCGCGCCTGCTTTCGCAATCCCGCGGTCCCGGGTTCGATTCCCCCCTGGTCCGCGGCAGCTCCGGCTTGAAAATCGCAGCTTTTAAGTACAAACGTAGTACGCGGAGCGTGCTCCTGCAGCTCCGGCTGGAAAATCGCAACTTTTAAGTACAGACGTAGTACGCGGAGGCTGCTGCAGCTCCGGCTGGAAAATCGCACTTTTTAAGTACAGACGTAGTACGCGGAGCGTGCTCCCGCAGCTCCGGCTGGAAAATCGCAACTTTTAGATACAAATGGCTGGAAAATCGCAACTGTAAATTGCAAATGTAGCACGCGGAGCGCCTCCGCCGCTCCAGCTTTTTGAGGGTTAATTACTTCACCTGCCAGTTTCTCATGCCGAAACTTCGAGAATTACTTCACCTGCCAGCTTCTCATGCCACCTTTTCGAGAGTTACTTCACCTGCCAACTTCTCGTGCCAACTTTTCGAGGAGTTACTTCACCTGCGAGCTTATCATGCCAACTTTTCGAGAGTTACTACACCTGCGAGCTTCTCATGCCAACTTTTCGAGAATTACTTTACCTGCCAACTTCTCATGCCAACTTTTCGAGAAATACTTTACCTGCCAACCTCTCGTGGCAACTTCACCTGCCAACTTTTCGAGAATTACTTCACCTGCCAACTTCTCATGCCAACTTTTCGAGAAATACTTTATCTGCCAACCTCTCGTGGCAACTTTTCGAAAAATTACTTCACCTGCCAGCTTCTCATGCCAACTTTTCGAGAGGTACTTCACCTGCCAACATCGCCTGCCAACTTTTCGAGAGTTACTTCGCCTGCCAACTTCTCGCGCCAACTTTTCGAGAATTACTTCGCCTGCCAACTTCTCATGCTAACTTTTCGAAAGTTACTTCACCTGCCGGCTTCTCACGCCAACTTTTCGAGAGTTACTTCACGCGCCATCTTCTCGTGCCAACTTTTCGAGAATTACTTCACCTGCCAGCTTCTCACGCCAACTTTTCGAGAGTTACTTCACCTGCCAACTTCTCATGCCAACTCTTTGAGAGTTATTTCACCTGCCAACTTCTCATGCCAACTTTTCTCTTGAGTTACTTCGCCTGCCAACTTCTCATGTCAACTTTGCGAGAATTACTTCACCCGCCAACTTTGCCAGCCAACTATTCGAGAGTTACTTAACCTGCCAGCTTCTCATGCCAACTTTTTGAGAATTGCTTCGCCTGCCAACTCCTCATGCTAACTTTGCGAGAGTTACCTCACCTGCATCAACTTGCCTCTATGCTTCCGGGCCACTCGTCGTCTAGTTTTAGATTAGGTCTCCCCCCCCATATTCTATGGAGGGGTGGTGAAGCTGACACTTTGAATTGGGGAACCAATCCAACAAGCATGGAACACGCATCCACGAAGTTCGTAGGCCTCTGCCCTTCGGATTTCGCGAGATCTGGTTTGGAGAAGTTCTAGGCTACTTGTTTCACGAATTTTGTCGTCGCTGGGCATGTAAAGAATCACACAGGCCGACAGCTGATGTGTTTATGTTTGGGATCACACCGGTTCAACCATCCAGGTGCTGCTTGCGGCTGTAGTCTACCCCAATAAATCAGATTCCCTCCTTGGATGGTTTGTTGGTTCAGGGAGGGGTTGCCATTTACCCTCTACAAACACCAAGGGTTCAAACCCAACATCCAAACCACCCATCCAATCCATCGAATAAGGATAACCTAAACAAACCCATCAAACCCTGGCGCGCTTCGAAGGTCGGAAAGCTGACTGGACACGGTCCCAGTCTTGCTTACACTTTGGGCGCAAATGCTCTTGCACAGATGCGGACACTGCCTTGGGCCGCATGTTGGTGGTTGTGCTAAGCATTTGGCCACGTGGATAGTGCGGATACTGCCGGGTGCCTTGTGCGGGTGCAGGTGGGCGAGTGTGATAATTGTTTGGTCAGCGCAGATACTGTCTTGCGCTCGTGCTTGTGATCGGGTGCTCATCATTTGGCCGCTTGCCCAGCGCGGATAGTGTGGGTGCGCATGATGCGCCTATCGGCTGGACTATCGTTTGGGTCCGTGCTATTTGTGTCACCCCAGCACTGCAATCTGGGAAGAACTCGTTGAAATCACCAAACAGGAATGTGCGTGCGTGCGTGCGTGCGTGCGTGCGTGCGTGCGTGCGTGCGTGCGTGCGTGCGTGCGTGCGTGCGTGGGTGGGTGGGTGGGTGGGTGGGTGGGTGGGTGGGTGGGTGGGTGGGTGTGTGTGTGTGTGTGATTCTGCGTACAGGGGGAAAGATCAGGAATCCAGTCCCAAAGGTAAACCAATGCAATCAAGCGGTCACTCCTACGAGCGATTTTCGTCATGACAGGCAAAAGTTGCGGTTGCAAGCCATCAATTTCCAGGTCCACAAGTTCCACGCTGTCGCAAGCATCACCTGGGCGCCCAGGAATCTGAAATCAGTGCTAGTCCACAGGTTCCACGCAGTCTGAACAAGCTACTCGCAAGCAACCATCATCTGGGCTGACGTTCCACGCAGTGCAATGTTCTTATTCCAACACAGGTCAGTGGGTCGCCAAACGAACGCTTGGAAAACCTCAACGAACAACTTCGCCAAACAAAATAAGTCCCAGCAGCCAAGCAAACATCACCTCGCCCCGGCTGGCTTTCAGACATGAAATAGGAGGCCAATTGGCTGAAGCAAGGCTTCGAACTTGGTCTCAAGCAAGGCCTCTACTGCTGCACTCGGAAGTGTTTTTTTCTTTATTGCCTTCTGTTTTTTTTTTTTTACAAAAACAAGTTTGTTGGGTTGCTTTATTTCTTTAACATAAATCATTAATACAGCTGCAGCTCAGAAATTGTTAAGCTTGTCATAACTTTCACTTAGGCCGGAGGGTTGCACTTCTATCCATCTGGCTGTCCGACGTGCCCCCCTGACCCCGCCCGGCCTGTAATACCCCGCTACGGGTGCTGGCACTGAGGTGCCTGCGACCGGCGCCGGCGCCGGCGCTTCGCAGCACGAAATGAGAAAAGTAGGTCGAAACTTAGGGTGTGTTGGGTATTTTCGGTAGGGAATCGAATCAGAAACCGTTGGACGGTTTCTGAACGGGCTCGGCTCGATTCCACCTTTTTAAATGCCCCAACAGTACTCGCATTGCAGTTTGTTCACGTGGTATAAGCAACCAAACTGATAGTTTTAACCTGGGCTGCCCTCAGATCCCCCGCTAAAAGTGACCAACTTTTAGTGGCTAAAATGGAAAACCAACCACTAAAAGGATCTAAAAAGCTAAACGGATGGCTGGGAGCCGCCAAGGGCTATGAATTTTAATAGAGAACCACCTCAAAAGTGAGTAGTGGAGATAAATCCGCACCTAAATGATGTCCACCAAATTATCCCCCATCAAAATTCACACCCATATTTCCCTTTGAAGGGTGTGTTTGTTTAGGTGTGTAAACCATCATCTTGTCATCCACATTTTCTGCTTCGGCCTCGAAAGGGCGATCGATCCGCGAGCAGGACGCGTCGGGTTTGGGCCTGGGGGCGAAATGCTGGGAGACCTTCTTTGAGGGCTTGGGGTGGGAACTTCATCTAGGTCCTCCAGATTTGAGAGGTTAGAATAAGTTGGTACCCGTTTTTTTGTTTGCCCCCCTGTAGTCTATTTTAGTAGGGGAACCCTCCCCAAAAAAACATGTAAAAGGGCACTACTGGGGGACCCAGTCATGGATTCTCACAGCCTCCCCAAATGAGCCCTCCTTTTGCAACCCGACCTGGGACAAGTCGGCATATAAAGGCAAAGCACTTTATTTTGTAGGAAGAAATCGTGGAAACCTCATATCCAATGAATATATATAGTGCGCAGGGGGGCAATCCCGCGCAACCCCACGATCCACCCCCTTCAAGGTCCCCCCCCTGCAGTGGGCAAAAGCACCGCCTTCCTATAAACACGCGTGGCCTTTGGCTGACAGTTAAAGCCCTAAACATATTTGCCCCATGGCTGCCTGCAACACGGCTGCGCTCGGGGCGCTCGGACGACGAAATGCTGCAAATTAGAGCTAGGGATCCATGTCAAATTTCAGATAGCCCGTATTGGTTCGGATCGATTCGCGGCTTGGGAGTTGTCTTCCCTTGGTTCTTGAAGGGGGCAAATTGGAAACCGGCCCCTGGCCACCAGACCGATCATTGGAACCGATCATTGGAGGAAAGCTGATCAGAGCCGACCCGCCCTCCAAAAGTCATTTCGAGCCCAGCATGAACGCCCAAATAGGGAACATAGATGAACCTACGCAAGCACAAAAACTGAAAACATGCCAAAAATAGCTTCAACCTACCATAAACCCTGCAAAATGCCACATGAACCAAACCTCATGAGGAATCAACAGATGCCACGATTTGTCGACGCATCTCTTGTTTTCTCTCCAAAGTATTGAGGGCCATGTCGAGGGCAGGGCGCGTTTTTAACGACATGTGCGTGCCAGATCTGAGGAATGGGCCCTCTAATTCTCTATTGGTAGGGAGCTCTCAATGTAGACGGGACATGGAAAGGATCCTTTTTCCCCAAAAACACAGCGATGTGTTGTCTTATGGTGTTTTGTTGTTTTGCACTTATTGTTTTTATCAATAATAATATTACTAATAAATAATAATAGTAATACTACTAATAACAATAATAATAATAATAAGAAACAAGGCAGCCTTGTTTGCGCAGCTCTGGCCCAGCAGTTCCTGCACAGTGTTTGGTTCTTTTGTGACGCGCAGCCTTTCTTCCATTTATCAATATTTTATGATACCTTTCTTGTGGCTCGGCTCGCGGGGGGGCGGCGATGCGCGAAAAAGGCACGAGATGCCACTTGTCGATTTTGCCGTCGACCCTTCGATCGCGTTCGTCAGGTGGATTGATGCGCAAAACAAGTGTTAAATTTAACTCAACAACTTTGACATTGCACCCTGTGAGTGGGGCGGGTAGGTCGATGCGCAACAAATGATGCGGGGATCAACACTGAGCAAGACCCACACGAAATGCATGAGCTCTCACCTTCGCTGAGTAAACCCATAAATTTATCTCACTTCAATGTAGCCTTCACAAGGGAATCTTGCACCGACTTGAGTCGTTTTCTTTGCAAACGTCTCTTAGTCGTCTTGCTGTACGTCAAAGCATCATTTGCTCATGATTTGAGTTGTCGAAGCAGCCTCTTGGTGGTCTCGCGATTGTGCAACAGCCAAGTTGCATGTGAGCACAAGGCGCATGTCAAAGGTATGCTGATGTAACTTTGCTTGTTTGACTACTGCTAGCTGCCCTGTTGCAAAGGATTCCAGTGGCTTTTGATGGGTTTTGTTGACAAGTCCATCCACAGCACTTTGATTCAGTAACTTCTGGGTGAAATCGAAACCCACCAGTAATGTTGACCCCGGATTAATCAACCCCAGTTTATTAATAGGGTGTTCCCCTCGAAAAGTGGCACTAAAACAAGGGACAACCACCAGTAATGGAAACCCCCTATTCATCAACCACTGTTTCTTAATATGGGGGTGCTTTTCCCTGGTTTTAGTGGGGATTGAAGCCACTTTTGGAGGGTTCGGAACGCCCTATTAATAAACCAACCTGTGGATGGACAAAATCCTGCACCACCCAAGAAACCCTAGAATGATGATTCCCCGGTAAATACCAACAAGCAATGGTTTTCCATAGTCTCAAAGTGGTGCGAAATGGATTTCGTCCATCCATAGTAGGTGGCGTTCAAATTACACCACTCAACGTCGAGCCTTCGGACCCAGATCACGAAGTTCGATTCAACCGCCGGGATCGTTTTCGCGACCGGTCGGTCGGTCGATCGACGAACGAAATGCCTCAGGGCTGTGGTTGAAATGGAATCCACGAATCTGTGATACAAAAAGGGCCTAACCCCAAAGACTTATACTTTATGTACAGGGGGAGATTCCCTTGTATCACAGAAGTGGGAATAAACCCCTTGATTCCACAATGAAATCAACTTGATCAAGCAAACATTAAGCCTCATGTGGTTCTGCGCAAGTGAAGAACCACATTCATCTACCTGCGCCCTTGGTCTGGACTTAAGGAACCAATGGATCTTGCGCCGAAAATCCCGAATCCGAAAATCCGAATCCGGGCCGCCTGAGTCCGCGCAGTTGGCGCCCACGGGGCAGTGGATGCACTGAGAGCCAGGGAGCTGTGCGAAGAAGCCCACAGTGCACTCCTGGAGCCAGGGACCTTCACAGGTCCAGTCGGTGGATCCGGATGCATTATACACCTGAACATTGCAACTTGTAAATGGAGGTGTCCAACTTTAGCTTGCTGTTGAAAAAGCAACATGCTTCAAATGCTTGCAAAATGAATTTCTTTTAAGGAGCCCTGCGACTCAGCTGGTGGATTGGGTTCGGATTTGGATTTGAACCGCGAACGGGTCCCTGGTTCGTGTAGAGGGCTCATGGGAACCACCTCCTTAACCACCAAACCACCGGGCTCAAGACCACCACTTGGCAGGAAGCTGAGTTCCCTGACATGACTCACACGCCGCCAACAAGGAATCCTCAACTTACAGAGGTTGCACCTCTGAAGTGGCACCGTGCCACTATGGCTGTGGCTCAAAAACCGGAATTCCAAAATGGCTTGCCCTGGTAAGTGGAAACATGGCCCAAAACCTGCGGTTTGCCCCTCCTGGTTCATTTTGAGCCACACCCATATGCCCCTGTTGGATGAAGTGGCATGTGTTTCCCCCAGATTTTGCGTTTTGACTCAGGCCCGGGGGTGGGATTTGCTGCGCTGAGATCTTCTTTAAAACATGCGTTGCTCGGGGTTCCTGTTGACCGTGGGAAAGCAAGAGCCCGAGCGCAGAACTCCAGGAGTTGGCATGTGGATCTGAGGCGAACTTCCAGGGACGGCCCAAGAACTCAACCGGCACACGGCGAAGCGCCGAACACCCAGCGAATATCCTGGCAGTCAGGGCATACCCTAAGATTCCCGGAAAAAACGTGGCGGGTTTCCCAGAAAGGCGTGGCTGTCACATACCATACCCTAGGTCCTCCAGTAGAGAGGTTAGAATAAGGCTACCAACTTTTTTCGGTGGTCTACTTTAATAGGGGAACCCTCCCCCCAAAAAAGGCTAAGAAAGGGCACGACTGGGGGACCTAGTTTACCCCTTAGCCCAGCGCAGGACCCCTTAAACGATGGTTAAAACGTATATCAGAGCTGGCGGGGCACCACTGGTGGAAACAGATTGCCATGTCCGGCTCCCCATTGGACGGGGGTCTTCTTTCCCTTATCTTCAGGGAGCCTTCTTTTCACATGGCGACAAAATTAATGCTGCCAACACACCAGTGCAAACAAACCACCAATATGAATTCGAACTGCCGGCAAAAAACATTACAGTAATAGCAATAGACAACAATAGGAATAAAACACACACACACACACAAAAAAAAAAACAAGAACTCCTCCATCATGTTTGAGCTGTCTTCGGATCGGTGAGCTTTCCACAAGCGCAACACGCGTCGAGTCTCCTGGCACCACTCCCCGGTGGGAGAGTTGGTCCAGCCCGCCGGGCAGGGAAGGCACTCGGCCAAGCTGCCTCGCGCGTCCGTCGACGACAGGTGCCGCCCGCGTTTTTACTTTCCTTTCCAGCCGTATGGCTATGAATTTTATAGAAGGGTACCAAATTCTAATAGGGAACCCCATGTTCTCACCCTTATGGCTATGTTATTTGTTTTGTTTTGTTTCTTCTTTTTTTAAATAGGCAACCACCTGAAAAGTGATCAGTGGACATGAATGCTTCCTTTCCACCCATCTGGCTCTGAAAAAGCTAAGGGGATGGCTGGAAGCCACCAAGGGCTATGAATTTTAATAGGGAACCACCTCAAAAGTGACTAGTGGACATGCATCCGCACCTGAATGATGTCCACCAAAGGGTCCCCCATCAAAATTCACACCCATATGTCCCTGTGTAGGGTGTTTTTTGTTTTAGGCTTTGAAACCATCAGCTTGTGAAAAGGCCAATTTGTTCAGCCAAGCTCCTGGTGGGTGATTGATGTTGAACTGGTCAAACTTAAGTCAATTTCTGCTGGTTTGGGATGTCACAATGCAAGGTCGGAAATGTCAAGAGGTTAACTCTTCTGTCTTTTTTCAACCATTGATTGTTTCATAAACTCGACTTTTCCCTGTTGTTTTCTCCGGACAGCAGACAAACTCATCCTGAAAAGAATGGGAACTTACAGCAGAAAACACAATGAACCCTGGACAAAAGAAGCAGATTCTGAAAAGAATGGGAACTTACCCCAGAAAACACAATGAACCCTGGACAAAACAAGCAGATCCTGAAAATCATTTGGAACTTGCCCTAGAAAACACAACATCAACCCCAGAAGAGAAAAACAAAAACACATTTAACAAAAAGGCAGGAGACAAAACAAACGCAGCACATATTTAAACGCAGATCCCCGATCCCAGGCGCCGTTGAAGGTGTCGGGGTTCGTGACGAAGCCGGCGGGGCACTCTTGGGTCCGCAGAAACTTGCTCTCCCAGCTGGGGTGCGGCCAGACCTCGTTCAGCGGCTCGCATCGACTGCATGCGGCGCATCGAAACCCCAAACCGCTCGAGTGGATGGGTGGCCCACGGAAAAGTTTTTGGCAAAACCCATGGTGGTACAACGACGGAAGGACCAAAATGGCTAAACCAAACCAAACAGTGACTCAAGTCCGAAAAGGAATTCAGGGGGTGAGTTGTGATATTCGCAGGTTTCCCATCAGGACTGCAAGGCAGGCGGGTTTTCGCATGGCCCCTTCCCAAGTTGTTTCCACTACTCACTTGAGTGGATTGGTCAACAAAAAGTAACCAAACTTCTTGCAAACACCCAAAGAGTTGAAAGTCCGGGACCTCGGGGAGTGGGTCGGATGGATACCTCGAACAGGCAGCGCGTGGGAAGAAAAACCCTCTCGGACAGCAACCTCGCGGAAACGTGTGGCTCCCAAGGGCACCTGAGTCGCCTGTGAGCATAGTAACTGCAAACTTCTGGTGCACCAAAATGGCAACCAAATCCAAACAGTGACTCAAGTCCGAAAAGGAATTCAGGGGGTGAGTTGTGATATTCGCAGGTTTCCCATCAGGACGTCACATGGGGCATAAAACCTATCTGAACTAGCGGAACCCATCGATTTCTAGCCAAACGAGCAGATCAAAACACCTATGCCTGTGAGTGTCTGGTTTGCTCCAACAAACCCGGTTGCGACAAGGAAACCTTTGGCCGGGAAACCACCAGTCTTTCAGGGGTAACAGAAGCGCGGTTAAGGTCGACATAAAGCGAACAAACCAACAAACAACCACTAACCACAACGGGGCCGCCCAGTAACAGCTTCCCAAAAGATTCACAGGCAATGTCGGTCGAGAAGAGAAACCAAGCGTAAAAGCCTTACTTCAACATGTTGGTTTGCGCTGTCTCTCCCGGATGGCGCCTAGGAGATTATGGCAATCTCTTTTGGGACTTGGCTGATATGCCGCAACTGTTGGCTGGGTGTGATCCTTTGGTCCCCCTTCAATAGTCAGCCAATACATGCACCCAATGAATATCCTCCCCATTCATACTTGCAATTATGCCTGTTCTATACCAACACTCAACCAGCCAATTCCTGTCCCAGCCCAATATTGGTCTTAGAAACATTCCACACTCGTGTACGAATCAGAACTGGCAGGAAACTGCGCGTGTTTCTCACCTGCCGCCCTGTTGATACATGTTCCGCCTTCGAATAGTTTCATTGGGGGCGTGTTCAGTAGGGAGTTGCCACTAAGAAGGCTGCGCATCCTGGCAAGGTCTTGGACCAGCGCGCAAATATTTTGACTCTTGCCAACCAAGTAGCGGGTATTTGTGAAACCTAGGCATGGTGTCATGTCGTTATGCTGGTTGCTTTCAAGACCCATTCTTGCCAAAAGGGCCTCATTTCGTTTTAGCACATCACCATGTGTAGAAGAAGATGGCCGGCCGAATGATCACATGTGCTGAGGGACGAAACTACCTCAGCCTTTGCCCCTCCAAAGTACCGACCCCTCCAACCGCACCAATCTTTGCTTCTGTTCCATATGGGCGTTTCTCAACACAGGGATCCTTTTGGTTGATGGCCGGAAAGCCGGACACAGCAAGAACCCCGCCGCCTGAAGTTTAGTGAACCTGAAAATACATTCGTTTCAGAAGAGATAGAAAAGCAACGCGCAGCTGCCAAGAAGAGGCCGAGTTGCCATGGAGCTGGTATTGGCTTCGTCCAGCAGCTGGGATGTCACGCCGTCGTCCTTGCGGAAAGCCGTCTCTTGGAATCCATCAAGTGTCCAGGGAGTCACCGCCGGGAAATTACTTATGAGCCTTCTCTCCTTCCACTTCCCTTGGTGGTCTCTTCTGTGTAAATACTGGCTCCCTGGTTGACCTTTTGTGCGCCGAGTTTTGACACCTAGCTTTTTGGCAATGCGTTCAGATTAGGAAAAGGGGTAGGAGTCGTGATAGTCTCCCTCAGACAACCCAAATTGGGGTATCCTCGTAAAAACACAACAATCCTCCTAAGGAACACAACAGCCCAGGGAAACTCGAAATATGTTCAGAGTATGTTTCATGTGTGGCCAACCTATAACACACGTATTGGCAATACTTTTATCTAGGGCCCCTGTGGAAACCATGTGTGGATGCATATCCACCAACCACTTTTAAGAAAGCCCCCCACAAGCAAAACTCAGAGCCAAATCTTCTCAGACTTGATTGCCGTCAGCCTAAGGTGCTACAAGTCAAATTCCTAGCTATATCAGACCTGATTGCCAAATATATATATATATATATATGTACATATATATATATATATATTATCACTATTACTCGTATTATTATTATTATTTATTGTTATTATTATATTTTATTTTTTTATTGTTTGTTTTTAAAAGGAAGAAAAAAAAGAAAGAAAGAAAAAACGGGACGGGCCAGCCATCTCTTTGAAGCCCCTCTTGGCGGCGGGCCCGGGCTCGCCCTTTTCGCCGAGGCCCGGGCGGACGCTTCCACCTGGAGCGTCACTGCGGACCTGGCACGGCATGAGTCAGAATCAAAACCGATTGGTATTAAAATGGGTGCGGATTCATGTTGCTTTAGTTTTTCTTTTTTTTGAGGGTGGGGGGGGCGGCTTTTCTTTTTTCTTCGGGGGGGAGCGTTTTTTGGTTTTCCCGGATTTGTTGTTGTTTGGTTTTGTGGTGTTTTTTTTTTTTGGGGGGGGGGGAGGGGGGAGTGTTTTTTGCTTCCCCCGTTTTGTTGGCGGGGGGATTTTTGTTCGTTACAAAGGTCGTGATCCCAGAACCATGCTTAAAGAATCAAGAAGGCGGATATCCGCCGCCATTGATGGCAAGGGGAGTATGCCATCCCTTGACTTTCATCTGCCCAGGTTTTGAGCAAGTGGCTCAAATGCTTTGGACCCCTACTCCCTTTGGATATTCATGGGTGTCTTACTTCTGATCGCGTGGATTGACCACAAAAAGTGGTTTACCACTAAACAGGCCTTACCAAGCCCAAAGAGTGGCTCTAAAGTCCGAGACGGAACTCAGGAAGTGAGGGTGTGTCTCAAAATAGGAGTGGTGGCTTTCCTTTTAGCTTCCCAAAAGGACCCCAATGGTGAAATGAAACCCTCAAACAGTCACATCCTCATAAGATGCACCCAAATGGCACCTTGGTAGCTGGAACCCGAAGACTAAAACCTGCGTAACCCTAGCTATTTTGAATTTGAGCCACATGGATATTCATCCAAAAACCTTCCCCGATCCAAGTACATGTTCAGTGGGCCTTTCCAGGAAATTCCTTTGTGCTTCTGGTGGTCTCCCATACCTAGAGTTGTGACTGGAAAGGGATCTATGCTCCTGTCGTTTGGTTTCAGCCACCCCGCAAGGCGTGGCATTTCAATCGATCCTCGCCCACCTGAACAGGGCAATGTTGACTCCAAATGAATAAACCCGTTCTATTATATAATAGGAGGGGTTTCCCCTCCGATAGTGATAAACTCCAGGGGCACCCTCATATCAATAGCAGGGGTGTATTTTTGTCAGGGTTTCCATTACTCAAAGCCAAAAAACAGTCATAAATCCCCACTAAACAGCACCCTCATATAAATAGACAGGGGAGTTATTTGTTGGGGGTTTCCAATAATTACTCAAAACCCAAAAAAAAGAAAGAATGTCAAATCGCACGTCTGTGACGGCCCGCCTCTGCACCACTCCATTACCCGAAAACTCCACACGGCCATAGACAGTATCCACACCTGCAGCAAGCAGAGTGGCTTTACGATGCTACCTTTACGGGGGGATGTGTGTCAAAATAGGGGGCCTGCAAAATGTTGGCTTGCCTGGACATGTTTCTCTTAAGACAAACCCTGAAAAGGAATGATGTGTTTTTAGCTGAAGGGTGATCATTTTACAATGCCCTGCCTTTCCAATAAGTCATGGTCAAGAACACCCAAAAAGGGATCGGACCCCTGTTGGGAAGTGAGGCTTAGGCGACACAGGTCTTGAAATATGAACCCTTATGAACCCTTTCGCCCTCCCCGTTTTGGCCGCCTTCCTGAACATTGGCTGAACGGGTTTGACTTTCCTTGGGGCTGGTGTACGGTGGTCATCAAGTCAGAGGCTCCGAAGGATAGCTTCACAACTTCCTTTCAAGGGACCGGGTCCCGAACGGCAGGCTCCAGGTGAAAGGGGTGAGGGTCAAACATATCATGTAAGCCCACACTGACCAGAAAAAGGCGAGGTCCTCCAGATTTGAGAGGTTAGAATCAGGGTACCCGTTTTGTGCTTGTTCCCCCCTTGTTTTTCCTCTCTTTTTTTTATGTAGTCTATTTTGGTAGGGGAACCCTCCCCCAAAAAAGAGTAAAAGGGCACTACTGGGGGCCCTAGAAGGTATCCAGGCATCCCGCAAAAGCTTTGGGTAAACTCGTCCAGCCAAAGATCGCAACAAAGCAAGGCCATGCGCGCAACTTGTGTGTGTGTGTGTGTTCAGTGCAGTGATGGTGTTTTTGTTTCGGCAGTGATTCTGAGCCCACAAGAAGCCTGGCAGGGCGACATACTTGGGTACCCCCCGTGCACGTGCCGGGAATGTGGGGGGCTTCCAAAATAATTAGAAGACTCCGACTGGCGTCCCATGCTGTCACTGGAAGATCATCGGAATCCCAATCTTAGCCGGCGGTGTTCAGTCCAACCAAGCCCTGACCTCTCAAGGGAACTTACTGGACCCTCGAAACGGAAAACCTACCAGGATGTCTTTGTCCCCCACCCAGCGGCCCTCAAGAGGGGCCAGATCGCAACTGGCGCACATGTGTAGACACCTGAAATGGACATGCCAAACTTCTACAATTATAGTAATGTTGTTGTACTTGCACATACTTTATTGTCCACCAAAATCTTGCATCAACGAACCACAGGAGTCTTAGATACGGGGACTCAGCCGCAGTTCGACCTAGTGAAATTGCAACTCCATGGAATTCGGCATCTCAAAAAACGAACTGGGGAACTCGCAAAAAAATCATTTCGAGCCCATATTCATCAACCCCAGTCTATTATTATGGGGGTGTTCCCCTCCAAAAGTGAAGGTCCCCCACTAAACCCAGGGACACCCCCCTATGAATAAACAGGGCTATATTCAACCGCGGTGAACATTATATGGCTGTGGGTCAAAAATAGGGTAACCCCAAACCGGAACCCTGGCAAGTGGACGCGAGGACGTAAAACCAGCATGGTGGTTTAGTCTTAAACCATACCCATATCGATTTCCTGTTGCTTCCCCCAAGAAACGTCGCCGCTTCGCCAAAAACAAAAACCGCATGAGTCGCAGTCGCAAGGCCCGCCTGCCAATCGCAAGGCCTGCGTGAGCAGCGTGTTCTTCTGCACATCTGGGCCCTGGATCGCGAAGAACCGAAACCCAAAGTGGCATAGTCCGATTCCAAATCCCAGTAGGTGGGTCTTCTTTTGGGCAGCGCTTATTTTTGTGGGTCACTGGATTTTCCTTCAGTTGATCAATTTCCTGGTAGTTTCCACTAAAACTGCCAAGTGGGTGTCCCCTTTTTTGTGGGTACCCCTTGTTTTTGCGGTTTCAAAGGGAACCAACACAAAAACCACTCATTTTGGGGGGAGCCAAGGTTCAAAGAGTTGTTGTTTATCGTCTTTGATTGTCATTGCATTCGGGGAGCCATTCAATTGTTTCTGCACTTTGCCAGCTCCATGCACCTCGGAATTGCTGGTCCCGATCTGCAAGCTGTAGCGTCTCTAATGGAATTCTTCGGGGAACTTTGCTTTGTGGAAAGCACTATTTCTGACCCTGGAGCGTGTTCACCGGTCTTGGGGGGAGCAACGCCCATCAGATCCTGCTAAACCCGGAAACATGTCAAGGGCGAAGACTTACCGGCGTCAAAGCGCCCGTACATGGCGCTCGACTCCCTTCATGAACCAACAAGTCGTCACCAAATGTTCGATTCGCCACTAAAATGGTCCAAACCCAAAAAGTAACTACAGTCCGAAACGGAACTCGGAGTGAGCGTCAGGTTTCCCTCAACTCCCCACCAAAAGGGGTCTTGAATCCTAAAACAAAAACGGGTAGCCTCAGAAGAAAAAAAACGGACCCGGCTTCCCCAAATTGGTGGCTCGGAGCTGGGTGGTTTGGTGGTTCGAGGGTGGGTTCCCAACAAAACCCCCCGCGAGATCCAGGGACCCGTTCGAATCCAAATCCAAACCAATCCAAACCACCGATGGGTTACACCTCCCCCCTCCATTTGCTTAAGTCCCCTGTAAACAAAACAGTATAACATATGTCCAGTAGTGATAGGGTTACCGTTATTTAAAGCTTTCTTTCCTAGACGTCTCTTGTGGGCCGCAACTCACTCAACTCTCTAATGGTTGATTCCCCATTCTTTCCAACCATCGTTCTTTGCCAAAACCAGCTATTTCCCCTGGGTTTCCGGAGGTTTTCTAGAAAGATTCGGATCCATGGGTTCAGAAAATGGACATGGAAGGTACCCCTAGAAACTCAACTCACTCACCTCCTTTTCACACCTCCTCCAGTAGAGAGGTTAGAATAAGGGTACCAGCTTTTTCCCTGTAGTCAAGTTTAGTAGGGGAACCCTCCCCCCAAAAAAGTTGGTTAAAAAGCTTGCACCTAGCTGGCGGACCTATAGACACGCTCGACCTCGCTCCCTCGCGAGGCTTTGACGGCTTCACACGCTCAACTCACTCAACTCTCTAAGGGTTGATTCCCCGTTCTTTCCAACCCATCCTTCGTTTCAAAAACCAGCCATTTTCCCTGAAAGTTTCCGGAGGCTTTCTAGACAGATTCGGATCCCTGGGTTCAGAATGGACATGGAAGGTACCTGGAGAAACTCACTCAACTCACTCAACTCACTCAACTCACTCAAATCCTTTCCACACCTAGGTCCTCCAGTAGAGAGGTTAGAATAAGGGTGCCCTTCTTTTTCTGTAGTCTATTTTAGTACAGTTGAACCCTCCCAACCCAAAAAAGAGTTACGGTAAAAAGCTTGCACCAATTGCTGGGGGACCTATAGACACGCCTCGCTCGACCTCGTTCCCTCGCGAGGCTTCGCGGACGCCTCGAAGGCGCAGTTCTGCAGCGTCTGCATCACGGTGATGGCGCCGCCCGTGGCGGCCGCCGCCAGGGCCGAGGGCAAATCACCATATCTCAGCCTGGCGCTCGATGCGGGTTGGAAGACCCAGACCCTCCATTGGACACCCCAGATAGGTTTTGGGGTCTCAAGACCTGGATGTTTGAGGGCCCAAAGTCAATCGGGAGCCTCTGGGCAACCGGTATGTGATCCCTTGTTTGAAACGCCCCCTAATCAAAATGAACCAAAACCTAAGACTTGGTCCAACTTATACACTACATGGAAGCTCCCAGGAGGCCGCCGTACCCTCAAAAAAAACACGTGGAACCTGCTAGGGGCCCGGTCCCTTTAAAACCAAACCAGGACCCAAAACGTCAGGTTCCATGATAATTGGAGCGTAAATGCAACCAAGTCTTCCACAAGGGTTCTGGGAGCCTCTATGTTAGCTGGGGGAGAGTAGATCATCTTTACAACCCTTGGTGTCGTCTAAACATGAACATAACCAAACAAAACAACAACTAAAAACTTGATCCAACGGACAGTGAAGTTGTTCTTCCATGTGTTTTGCGTCCCCTGGAAAAATATGATAAAATACGTCCAGTAGTGAAATCGATTCCAACTTTAAAACCAACAGGGGGAAATAACAACACATTCCTTTCAGCACGTGGCGGTTTTTATGGCTGGTTCGAGAAGCAAAGAATGACAATTGGAATGATATCGGAAAAATAGACATCCCCTACTGCGATGAACGAAATCCATTTTGCACCAAGAAACCCTGAAATGACTATTCACCTGTAAATACCAACACATTTTTCTGTGGCTTCATTTAAGGGAATCCCCAGGTTCATTCCCAAAACCCTGGTTTATTCCTTACTGAGCCAGCTGAAAGCTAAGGGGTCGAGAGGCCAAAAGCGTCGATACTGGGTGGTTTGACACAACTTTCAGGGAGGGGTCCAGAGTTTCAGTTCCAGGGAGTTTCGGGGCGTTGGGGATACAACCGGTGTTTTCTTGTTTTGTTTTTCTTTTTTTCTCTCTCTCAACTGGGTGTCATTTGTTAAGAATCGGACCCCAACAAAAATTGACTTCAGTTTTCCTTGTCCCTGTAAAACCATGACACAAGGGGTAGCAACTCAAAAAAAAAAACAAGAAGGGTTTCAAATCCAAATCAAATCAAAGCACTGCCAGTTGCCCTTAAAAAAACTGTCCCTCCCCCCAGGCGCCATTTCCCAATTGCCCAGAAAAGGGATGCAAAGCATGGGAAACGAATCCAAAAAGAAAAGAAACGCCATGTTGGATCGAGAAAAGTACGGCGCCAAATTCAGCCAATGCTTCCAAGGAAACACACAAGGACTTCCGTGTTCTTGAATCCGCTCCTGATTTCTTCTTCCTTTTCTTTTTTTACAACAACCATGGGAGCATCTCTCTGGGAGACATTGTTTATCTTTTGGGGGTCCCCGGTGGGTCAAGTCTTGTGCTTTTGTCCACCTCCGGTGGGGGTAGGATGATGGCTTCAAGAACAGGACTAGTTGTGCTTGGCTGACTGAGGGCAGGGGGTCCCGAATAAGACTGGAAAAGAGGTCGGTGGGAGAAATTGCTAGTTTAGATTTGGTTTCATATTGGGCTATTCTTAGTTACGATTGGCCCCCGACGGTTCGCAAAAACATGCTTTCATTCTTAGGGGGACTCTATTGTTAGGGGAAACGGGTTACATCCAGTCAAACGATTTCCTCAAGACTACTTATCAAACCAAGTAATGTGTATTTTTATCATTGGCCCATAGAGTCAAATTGCCAGCCTTGGGTGTGTATGTTTTCTCTTTTGGGGGATCCATGCCCCTTTGTGATTGCGAAAGAAACGCAGGGCGTCAGGAGGTCCAATTTGGAGACAACCCGTGCAAAAGACTTGCTTTCCCATGCACCACAACATGTTCACAATTGGCCCAGGATCCGCACCCCCAAAATCAGTCTTCCAACCCTTCCCTTGAAACCAACCTGATTAAAGCTCGGTTGCAAAGGATCCCCTGCCAACAGTTTAACTTTTAGTGGTTTAATGGAAAACCCGTTAGTTGGCAAATAGCTAAAGTTCTAACATCCCTTGGCAAAATGCACCAAAGATGGGTCCATTTCATGGCGCCCAGGAGGATTTCGCTTTTGCGTCCACAGTATGCAAAGGAGCAGCCCTAGTCCCTCAAGTAGCTCTCTCGCGGTAATGGTCGTGCTCACTCCATGTGATCAAAGGGTCGTCTGATTTTTGAGGACCCCTCTGAGCTCCGTCCAAGAGGCTCATGGAGCCGCACGTAGTGGTCGCTGGTCCCAAAGGCGCGGCAGGGCAAAGACATACCTCAGGCAAGAGGACGAACTCGCCCGCGAGCGAGCCGCCCTTTCTTCTCAGAAAGGGAATGGGAGGGTTTTTGAGTGGGATGCGGATGTTTCTTTTCACGCAACCCCTACTCAACACTAAAAGGCTAAAAAGCTAAGGGGATGGCTGGGAGCAACCAAGAAAATAGGGGCTTCTTGTGAAAATAGGAGTACCCTGCAACTGATTGGCTTCCTTTCGGATTCCTTTTGCTTCTCAAAATACCGCGGATGGACATGCAACATTCATTTCGCGCCGCGAAATGAAACTATGGTTGAAACCATAAGGTGTGTGGGTATTTACGTTCGGGAATCATTCTTCCAGGGGTTCTGAACCGTGGCGCGAAATGGATTTCGTCCATCCGCTTGGGTTTCCTCTTGGTTTCGCTTTGACCTCCCCACCAAAAGAAAAAAACAAGTACCCTCAAGAAAAGACGGACCCATATGCGCAACATTTTACCAAACCTGGAAGGGATGGGTATCTGAGATCTGTGTGGGCTGCCTTCCGGATGCTTTAGGCTTTGTGGTTGATGTCACTTCCAATTATTTCTGGCCCATGCCAAACGGAAACGGGGGATCCAGAAATAACAAGAAACGCATGAGTTCCCTTAAGGATATATCATCAGAATTGGGTACGATTTAGCAACCTGCGACGAAAAAACCCCGCTAGACCTACTCTCGCACCAACAGAAACCCACGAATTGAAGAGTCTCTCGAAGAGGAAATGGACCTTCCTGAAATCCAACATCTCCATGGCAACGTGGGTTTCGATCTAAGGCCGGTGGGTGCGGTTCTTGGACGGCATATGCACCTTTTCTGGCTGGCTCTTTGGCCATTCCAACGGCGCCGCCGTAATGTTTGGTCTTTTAAGGGGAAACCCTTCCAGCACACCACCATGTTCTAGCACTTTCTTCTCGCGACTCTCACCCACTGCGATGAAAGCCGCCCATTTTGGGGGGACCCAACTTGACCCAACCTCCAAAACGACGCACGCCACCAACTTCAACTTCCGAAAGCGACCGACGCACATGGAAAAAATGGCTGCAGCTCCATAAAATGTATCCAAATGGCACCAGGTGGCTCTGGGGGGAAAATGGGTCGAAACCCTGCACAAACTCAACCCGTACAGCGGATGGAAACTTTGCGAAGCCTTGGACAACCTTACAAACCTACCGTGGATGGACAAAATCCAGCACCACCTAAGAAACCCTGGAGTGATGGTTCCCTGGTAAATACCGACAAGCAATGGCGTCCCATGGTTTCCAAGCGGTGCGAAATGGATTTCGCAACCATCCACAGTATGTTGTAAACCAACACCTAGCAGTCCGTGGCAAGCTGCCTCAAGGACACCAAGGACTAAAACCTGCGTAATCCGAGCTCTTTCATTTTGAGCCACACCCATATCCTCTGGAGCTTCGTCCAAAACCCACCCCCGATCCCAGTAAATGTTCAGTCATAGGGGTGGTCTCTCACACCAACTCCCGCACTTCCGAAAGCGACCGAAGCGCACGGCAAAACAAAAAAACATATCCGAACGCCGGGCTGCTGGGATGCCAGCTGTTGGGAGCCACCACCTGAGTCACCTCAGAAACGCGATGCGGTATGTGAAACGGATGCATCCCGGAGGTTTCCCCCGAAATCCCAAGACCAAAGGGGAGGTCAACCGAACAAACGGGTACCCTCCAAACAAAGAAGGAACCCTGTTATTTTTGGGTGAGGTTTGGAGTTTCCATTGTTGCCCTTCTTTATGTGACTTTTTGTTTTCTACTGTTGATCCCCCAGATTCATCAACCCCGGATTGGTCATAGGGTGGGGGGCCCTGCAAAAGAGGTATGATTTCCCCACTAAGACAAGAAACGCCACCCCGTTCAACGAAGATTGGGTCAACATTAGGCTAGTTTGAGGTTGAGTTGAGGTTCATGAGCTGACGCTGGTAGCTTCTTCACGAACAAAACATGACGCCGTTCATTGAGGTTGCGGCAGTGCAAGCTTCCCCGCCGATCAGGTTGGTCAACTGAGGCTATGGTCACCCCTACTGTGAATGGACGATATCATTTCCTCTTAGGCAGCACCGTTCAGAAGCCCAACGGTTTCTGATAACTTCCCAAGGCAAATGCCAACAACCAGTGGGTTCAACCATGGCTTGGTTGCTTTCTGCTCCTCTGCAAAAAGTTTAGCTTGTAGCGTTTAATGGAAAACCCATTAGTTGGCAAAAAGTCAAAGTCCTAACATCCAAGCAAAATGCACGAAATATGGGTTCATTTCATGGTGCCTAAGAGGATTTCGCTTTTGCATCCACAGTATGCAAAGGAGCAGCTCTAGGCTCTAGTGCTATCTCACGACCCCGGTCGTGTTCACTCCCAACTCTGCGCTTCCGACCTTTTGACCCATGATGAACTTCCATTTGGTTAAGACCCCTGAAAAATATTTCCAATAATAATAAAACCAACAAGGGAAAATAAATAAAACAAATATACTATTCAGCAAACGGAAGTGAGTACATCAACAAGGAAAACTTGGGCGATGCTAGTTGGTAAGTGATTTATCCAAGTATTCATTTTCACAACTGGGGGATTCTGTCCACCACCATGAGTGGTCCAAGGTGTGCAACGGCGACACTTGCAGCACTGCCGTTTCTCTCCTTTACAAGCCCGGGTTACCACATGGGCAGGGTCATAATCAAAACAGCAGCACTAAAATGGTCGATCCCCAAAACCATGTAAAGAATTCAGAAGGCGGCCGCAGCTATTTATGGTTGGGATTGTCCCTTACTAACCTTCTTTGGCTGACTCAGAAAGTTCACCAACCTCCCGGCGGTGAATTTCAGCTTCCGTTGGATCGGTGCTTTGGTGGTTAAGGCGGTGGTTTTCCCTTTACCCCGTACAAGATCCGGTCCCACTTCCAATCCACCCCGCCCCTTAGTAGAAACCTAAAGTCAACAAGTCAAAGGGAAAACCATCAACCCAGAAAAATGCTTCAAAGCTTGGCTGGAACTAGGACCCCAGCAAAAACATATATATATATATATTTACATTTATTTATTTGCCTGGTTAGTGGAAAACAAGGGGACCCCAAAAAAACACAAACTGAAAGAGAAACTAATTCAGGGATCCTTACATTATACACCTGAACATTGCCTTGTCAATGGTGGTTTCCCTTTCCTTTGGTGGAAAAGCCCTGTTTCAAATGGGCAAAAACGTATCTTTTAAGGAGCCCTGGATAATTCTGGTGAAGAAAGCGGGGACCTGAGAATTTTCTGGTTAACTCCGCCGCTCGAGCCCGGCCAATAATTGAATTCGTCCGGAAGGCGGCGACGCCGGCAGCTTGGTGTACGTAGCGGGTATCCGCGTGCAGGAGCAGCATACCCTGGAGTTTTCTGGCGGGAAAAACTACAACCATCTGCAACTAGTCTAGGTCCTCCAGTAGAGAGGTTACAATAAGGGTACCCTTTGTCTGTCGTCCATTTTAGTAGGGGAACCCTCAGACCCTGTTGAGCTTGACTCTAGTCCGACTTTGTGAAATGACTTAGGAGGTGTAGCATAAGTGGAAGCTCCGTGAGACTGAAGCTCGCATCGTGCGAGTTTTTGATTTAAGGTTGCCTTGTTTGGCAACTGATTTGTGCGGAAGGGCACCTAGTCAGGGCTTCAAATCCCCGCATCACCAATTGGTGGTTTGGAGGCTTAGATTGGTGGTTTAGTAGCGGCATTGCAAACTACCCACGACCAAATCACACGACTACCTTTGTCAGCTTCAGCCAAACACACAATTGACAGCTGGACTCGCCAATCTAATGAACCAATTCTTGGTTCTGCACAGCCACCCTCCAAACCACCAACCTAAACCGCCAATCTCACCTCCCACCCCTAAGCTTAGCTAAACTAATTTTTTGGGGAGCATCATGGGGGGAACGAACTCTTTTTTTCATTGTTCTGAATAAGGGTGTCAGGTTTAGATTTGTGGTTCTCCCATTTAGCCTCTACAACGAGGAGGGGTCCAAATTCTCACATCACCAATACAAACCACCAATTAGGGTAACCTGATGAGAATTTTGCGCTTGTTTATGTAACTACATATACATATACATTTGTTTAAGCAAGACAAACTCGCCAGGTGAGTATGTTCTTCATACCTGACTATCAAAAAAAACGGTAGTGTGTTTTCCCTCCCGCCTTTTGGCTTGTCAAGTACCAAACACCAAACAAACTAAGGACACACAAACAACAACACTAAACAACCTCGAGAAAACCAAACGAACTGGCTGAACTAAGGATTCTCCCTCAGTTTCTCGTGCTTTCCGGAGCGCGTGTTTTACGTTGTGGTTTTCCCTGTGTGTGTTTGCTTTCTGGCTGCAAATGCTAACACACCATGTGTTTGTTTGCTGCTGTGTCGTATTTGCCCGCTAAAACACCAGAATCACGTCCTGTTTTGTGTTGTCTTATTTCATACCTAACTGCAAACAACCAGACAAGCCGGGAGTTTATGTCTTAATTTTCTATTTTTATTTGTTTTGCGTTCTTCCTTTTTGGGTCGGTGTTTTGGTCCGGAGGCTGAACCTACATATCCTTGAAACCCCAACGGGACAAGCGCCGAAGTGCCGAAGCGATGGACCGGCGCCTGGGCGGAGATGTTGAGACGCATGGAGGCCATGAGGCAGGCGATGGTCTCCTCCTCGGAGCCGCAGAGCATGATGGCGTCCTCGGGCGGGAGGCGGTCGGGAGGGGACGGTTGGGTTGGGAGGGGCGAAGCCGTTGCTGATCCGAGCCGAAAAGGAAACCTCCAGCCCGAAGGTTCAAACACAGACACAGCCATATACATGTATGTATATATATATATGTGAAATAAACAATAAGGTAGGTCCCTGAAAAGGGGGGGGGTAGTATATAATTATAATCTGGGGCTCCTTGCCCTGTAAAATAATTGCCCGAGGGAACCCAATTTGGACGAAAATCCTGAACGGTAAATAATGGTGGTTCTTCTAACTGAGCCCGTTGAACGTGTAAGACGGCCTTCCTTTCGCACGCCCACATTGTCCGGTGCAAGCTGGAACCTGGTTATTCGCGCCCCGTTTGGGGTGGAGCCCCCTGCCCAGTTGACCGGCTAGCCAAGAAGATCGAACTGCTTGGGCCTGGAATGACGAAGGCAACCAACAAAAGACTAAACACCTTGCCGCAAATCACCGTGTCTCTGTGTGCGCTTTGGGAGGCTGCATGTACTACATGGGAGAAACATAATTATTCGGAATTATTTAGCCCGTGCGTGTATATACATATATATAATATGTATATGTATATGTATATGTATATGTATATGTATATGTATATGTATGTATGTATGTATATAATATATATATATATATATATATATATATGGGTGTGTCTGTGTGCGTCTGTTGGAGGGCACCCTTGTCAGCTTGGCCTAGGGGGGAACCAACCGGGCTCAACGCTGAATGGGATTTCCAACGGCTCCGGATTTCCCGCTCCTGGGGCCAAGCAACGTGCCAGTGGCAAGCGGTGTGAATCACATTGGTAGAGAAAATCGCTGGAATCGACTGCTCCGAACATTTGTTTCTTCCGTTTTTCTTCCGCGTGGGGGAACCCCGTCTATGGATCACCTTGGCTATCGATAGTACTCAGTATTCCACTCGTTCCCCAAAAGGACATGGGACAACAGAGGGCAATTTGGGTGAACTGTGGCTTTTACTTGCCCGCGGTCCCAGTGAAACACATAATGACATATAGGACTTACCACTCATGGCAGCTTCAAAGACCAACCTTAGTAACCTTAGTCTCGTGTCCTACAGGATAATAATACTGTGGATGGACGAAATCCTGCACCACCCAAGAAACTCTAGAATGATGATTCCCCTCTAAATACCAACAATCAATGGTTTCCCATGGTTTCAAAGTGGTGCAGGATTCCGTCCATCCACAGTATTAGCGGCACAAAACACAAAAAAAAACAGAAGCTAGGGCAGAGTCCGCTGGACCATAAGAAACTCCGGTACGTGACAGATTGCCTTTAAAACCTGGGATTGCCTTTAAAACCTGGGGACAATCAACTAGGTCCTCCAGATTTGAGAGCTTAGAAGAAGTTGGTACCCGATTTCTTTTTCTGTAGTCCATTTTAGGGGAACCGAATCTCCCCCGAAGGGGTGAGACAGGTTGCACCTAGCTGGGGGACCTAGTAAACAAATCTTAAGCCAATGGAAGTGGATCTTTCATAAATCACGAAGGCGCGCCTCTTTGCCAGACCCACGTGGACCATCGGAGGTTGTCTCCTCTTGTGGGGCCTCCTCTTGTTCCAACACTCTAAAGTAAGTACCACCATGTTCACATGGTGAATTACTCACTTCCTGAGTGGATTGGCCAGCCCAAGTGGCCATGGGTCAAAATCTCGTGGCCCCCAGTGCCCAGTGAACAGCCCAATCTCCGCTCAAATGGGTTCTAAAAGGGGTGGTGAATTCACCGACCCCAACATGAGATCCCGTTTAACGGTTTTGACCCCACAGCCAAGTCGGAACAGACATGTTTCCGGCTGTCCTCAGATCCCCCGCTCAAAGTGACCAACTTTTAGTGGATTGCATGCAAACCACCACTCAACACTAAAAGGATCTGAAACAGGGCTGTGGGGAATGACCACTTCTGTGATACAACAGAAACGGCTTCCCAAAGACTATTTTGTTAATATAAAGGGGGATTTCCTTGTATCACAGAAGTGGGGAGAAACCCCTTGATCCCAATATGAATCCCTTGGATCCCTTGCCGCTAGACACCCAGTCACACGCTGAACGGCCTAGGCTAAGCTTAACCGGAGGGCGGGTTGCGCCGAACACCGAAAAAAAGTGGCTCACATCGAGGTGTCCGAAACGGAACGCGGGAAAAAACGAGATTCTCCTTGACTCGATCTGGAATCCCTCAAGGGTTTGGTGAAACATGGATCCCATCATCTGCCATTGGCGGTGCTCTTTTTTTTCCTCGCCCCCTGAGAAAAACACATATGTCCAGTAGTGAAATCGATTCCCTTTAAAACCAAGAGGGGAAGAAAAAAACGGATAACATATATTGTTGAGCAAATGGAAGTCCTGCAAATGTAAGAGTCCAACCACACAAAATTAACTCCCATAGAGACCTGTCAAACAGCCTAAGCAACGTTTGGCTCAGTGGGAACTCTCAGCAAAAGCTTAAAACTCTTTGTTTGCTGACTTTCCAACCTAATCATCAAGCCTTTTTTGCGACAAACAAAATAAACCCTCTCCCCTTAAAAAGTTGACATGGAAACCCACTTTCCAAAAGGAGATTCCTTTACAAGTGGGTGGTTTTGTTGGGTTCCATGTTAATCTGGCTTACTTCCTGAGTGGATCGGCCAGCAAAAAGTCCAAGCTGGTTAAAACGGTCCAAACCCAAAAAGTTCAAAGTTCAACTCGTGGGGTGACCCCCCAAAAAAAAACAAAATCATTTCTTTCCCTCTTTTATACCAACCAAAGATACAGACTAGGTCCTCCAGTAGAGAGGTTAGAAAAAGGTACCCTTGCAGACTTAGGGAGTGAGCTTTGGAGGAAGCGGTTTGCTTACGGAGAACTCCATGGTTTGGCCGCGTGGCTGGGCCCTGCGTGAACTTCCGCTGCATGGCACGCAGCAGCTCATAGTCGTCGGCCGGGCGCCTGGAATTCGGGCGGGAATGGGAAAGAGCTGGCCCATGGAACCCACTCCTTGATCTACCCTGGAAAAGCAGGGTAAGGCCGAATTTCCATTTAAAGCCAAGATCATTTCAAGAAGGACCCTTGGCTTGGTTGTTCAGTGACCCTGGAAAAAAAAGGGAACCCTTTTTAGGGAAGGGTGCCACTGAACAACTGAGTTGGAAGACCCTTGAAACCAAAACCAAAACCAAAATGCCGAATCTCCCATTTTGCGGCTCTGGGAAGCTGCAGGACTTGAGCGAGCCGGAAAACAACTCGGCTGCATTCAATGGGTGTGTCCTACGAATGCAAAACATTTGGAATGTTCCGAGGCTATGGGGTGCACTGACGTGACTATGACTTATAATGGGAAACATGGTGGACGCATGTGGACACACACACACATCCCATTTGAACGATGTCTATCAAAGTTGCCCAAGTTACAATTCATAGAGTAACAAAAAAATGTCCCGGGCACCAAGACCGGAACAGGGCGTTCTTTGGTTTTCCATCCTTCCTCCCCATCACTCTGCCAAACACATATCCAAGGAGACCTGCTTGTGGGGAGTGTGGCTTGAAGGTCCCGGTCACAAGTCAAAGCGTCAATAACTTATATAACTGTCCAAATGACTTGGGACGGCAGAGAAATCACTTGGGACGGCAGAGAAATCACTTGGAACGGCAGAGATATGGCTGTGGGTCAAAAATAGGTGCCCAAAATGGAGCCCTGGTAAATGAAAACATAGACTAAAACCTGTGGTCTCCTGCTGGTTTAATTTTGACCCACACCCATATGGGGATTCCCTACTAAAGCGGGCTAGTCACAAATGGCGCTTCAAAGGAGAACCCTTACCCAAAGAAAGTCAAAAAGGGCACCACTGGGCGACAGAGTAACAATCGTATCGGCAATCGGATCGGCGGTCTTTCCGCGACGATTCCGCCGGGGCTCTCCACAATGAGTTGACTCTGCAGAAAGCCCATCTGCAAGGCAGACTGCACCGCCGCGTTGCACATCACCTGATAGTGCCGCTGCGTCCTCAGCGGAAAAGCAAGCCCGACGGGATTGCTCTTGCTACTCATTTTTCTGCCAGATCTGGGCAAAGGGAATTCGGAATGACTAAACCAACATGGGGGAGATCAGCTTCCCACATAGTTTGCATTGGTTTGGAGGTTAGGAAGTGGTTTCCCACCTGTGGCCAAACTACTCCCAGTGGATCAAGAAGTACGGTTTCAATCCTACAAAGCTCAAACCAAAAGCAAGGTGCTCAAGGATGACTGCTGAACGCGCTTTGGGATGCGACCCAAAACATGCCTAAGATGGATGCCACTGGATCAGCAAGTTTTAGTGTTATTCAACGAAGCAAATGCCGAGGGCATCTGCACAGACTAGTAAAACCAAGCTGGGCGTCTGCTTCGGAGAGTTCCTAAAGAAGCCGCCACGCGCAATCGATTGTGATTCGCAACTCCAGCAATGCATCGTCATTGTGCATGCGGAGTGACATTTGATTTGGAAATGAGTGTCTTCCTCCGGACTTGCAAGCCAAACTGGAGCTATGCGTTCCCTAAGGAACCTTCACTGGGGCCCGGAATCGATTGAACCCGGATTCTCGATTGAAGGAATCTGCACATGTATTTAGGGCCTTTTTCTCCCTCCCCACCCCCCCCCACCAAGACTTGCGAACTTGCAACAGGGTAATGTCTGAAACAAAGAGCAGATAGGGATCCTCAGGGTCCCAACTCTTCCCATGTCCACTGCAGGGATCAAAACCAAAAGGGTCCAAAGTCAACCCTCGGCCAACAGAGTTTAGGTGCCTCAAAGGCCCTGAGAATCGCTTCACCCGAAACTCCCTCCCAAGATCCTCAATAAGGCCTAGCCCGATCGAAGCAGGGCTTTCCTTTTGACCATAGATTTCTCTAAGGTTCGAGTTTTCCTGTACTGAGCAGGGTGTCAAAAAACAACCATCAGCTTGAACATACCGATGTCTTTCTGGAAGAATCATGTAGTTCCCCAAAATCTTAAGGCGTCAATCTGACGCCGTGGAAGAACACAATAACTTATATTTGGGTACAGAAGACGTATCCATGAATGTTTAAGTGTTAACCTGCTGTTGGTGGCTGGAACCATACACTTTCTCCAGACAAACAAACACCTTTTTCGGAAGCCAACTAAGCCTGGCGGACCCTCGGATCGACGAAATCCTGGTACCACTGAGAAAAACCGTGGGGAAGAAACCATTGATTCTTGGTATTTATGTCGAATCGAAACATTCCAAACAAATCTTAGCTGGGCTGTGCAAATTGATCCCCTGCTAAAAGTGACCAACTTCTAGTCAAACCAACTAAACAACCACCAACAACCACTAAAACCACTAAACACCTCTCGAAAAGACGAAACGCAACTCAAAACCACTAAAACCCACACACCGCCCCACGTCTAACAAAAAGGCGGGCAAAAAAACAAAGAAGCCAAAACAGCGCCCTCCGGAGCCGCACGGGAGCGAGGCGCCCAATGAGCACTGCCAGCGACTGGGCTCCCATGGACCGGAAGATTCGGAGCCTCGAGACCCCAGCGAGGCTCGCGACCAAACTTCCCAGAGGAAAAATCCCAAAAAAGAGTGGGAAGAGGAAATTAACAGAATTCTTGCTCGAAACTTCCGAGAGATCTTCCGATCGAGTGGGGGTTGACCCCAAACAAAAACACCGAGGTTTTGAGAGAGATTATTGTCTTCTTTTTTTTCTGGAGCCTCCGATCGTCGATCGAGTGGGAGTTGGCAAGAACAAAAAACAACCAGACTGAAATTGAAGAAAGTCCAGGAACTAGTGCATGGTTGACCCAAAAAAGAACCAAAGTCTTGAGAGAGACCTCTTTGTTCTTTTTCTGGAGCCTCCGATCATCGATCGAGTGGGGGTTGGCGAAAATATAAAAAAAAGCACCAGACTAAAATGGGCGAAAGTCCGGGAACTGGTGCATGGGCGCCAAAACAAAAAGGAAGTACGCAACCAAACCTGTGTTGTTTACCACTAAAGTGGCCTTGCCAAACCCGAAAAGTGACTCAAGGGCCAAAAAGGGAAGTGAGCCACCAAACTTTGTTTCTTTTACCGCTAGAATGGCCTTACCAAACCCAAAAAGTGACCAAAGTCCGAAACAGAACTCAGGAACTGAGATTCCGTCGGCCTTGCTCTGATTAACATGAAACCCCTAAAAAACAGCATAGACATAGGTGTCCTGTTGGAAAACAGATCTGGTAGATGATGAAAGAACCTACTCTACCAGGGCCATCTATCTTCGACCAGCGTTATCACAGAGGAAACTCCTTTTGGGGGAGTTTCCTCTTGCGGCTCCATGCAAAATTGCGGGGAAGCAAACCTCAGGCTTGATGTAAGGATCGATTTGCGGGCACTCGCCCTCCATCGGTTTTGGAGACTGGTCAGACTTAGACCTTGCCTCTTTCCAATGGAAGTGGTTCTTCAAAAGGAAAGTGCTGCAAGACATTGGCATCCACTGGGAGAAAATGGACCCTCTACCAATAAAAAGGTTACCCTCTCTCCTGCTAACATGGCACCTCACATCCCTCCAAGAGGAAAATGATCTTCCAGGTGCCTCCCCACAGGTGCCATGTTAGTGGGAGAAAGGGTAGCTGTTTGGTTCGGTGAACAAGACTTAACACAAACAAACCCCCCTTCTGGGAGGGCAATCAGGGCAGGGTTTCGTCGTGAACCACCGGCCCGCCTCTGTACACCTGCCCTAAATCTGGTTTCACACCATACATGGGGATGCGTGATACCTTCCCTCTAACACCATGGGTGTGTGGACATCATTTGGGGATTCATGTCCAACGTATGAGGTGGCTCCCTATTAAAAAATAACTATTGCCATGGACAAGAAAGAGTCAACATGTCGATTTGCTTTCAGAGGCTCGATTTGCCCACAGTGCCTAGTTTTGCACTGGTGAAGGAGGACAGTTCGGTCAACGGGAGTGACTTGCATGAAACGTGCCTTTGTTCTATGTCAGTGGTGCCTCTCCTGCATCACGATCCATTCTATTGCGTTATTGCGCCTTCAATTCATCTAATGGTATGATCCGTCTGAGAACAAAAAGAGCAGTTGGCTACTTTGGAGGCTTCGGCTGTGCGGCGATGGGGGCCGCGTAGCTTGACGCTGCTTGTGAACCTTTGGATACATCGATGGACGATTCAACTGAAACCAGCGGAACCCATGTGCCAAAGAACAGGCCTTGTTCATTGTTTTGAGGCTCAGAGAATCCAGGGAACCCCGGAAGCTGCCGCGAATTCTCGAGGTTTTGTGGCTGGGCTTGGCAATGCCCACCTGCACCTCCAGCACCACGTCCCTTTGCGTGCAAGCGAGCGTCCCCTGCTGCATGTGCTCTTCCGCTGGCACCGAGACGGAGAAAATGCCTGGCATCCGCAGCTCCAGATCTCCCGGTGCCAAGGAACTTCGATGGCTGTCGTCAAAACCGTTTTGGGATCCCGTTTTGTCCTTTTGCCGACATGAGTGCTGCCAAATTCGCATGCCACAAACCAGGGATGGCAAAGGCCAGCCTAGGACCATGCCCAAGATCCTGCCTCCCATATTCTGACCACCCGGGTTGGGACCGCCCCGGTCCCTTCTTCATCTGCCTGGGTTTTGATGGCTCAGATGAACCCTGACTTACGCTCATTGACTTTCTCTTGCATTCTCACTCTCACTCACTGAGCTTATACCTGCTTGCTCTCACTCACTCAACACTCACTTGACAAAAACGCAGCTCCGGTCCTTTAATCGGTTGCACGGGGTCATCCTATGGCCCCCCAATAAAGGCCACCCCCAATCCCGATAGGCGCGAATACCGACGAATCCTTTGGTCGGCCGTTGGCTCTTCGGGGGCCCCTGACGCTCTTCGGGAGTTCAGCCCCGTGACGCCCCCATAGGAGTTCAGCCCACATGTCCAGCCTGGCAGATTCGCTCGTATCGGATAAGGATCGTAGGCGAGTGTATAGTAGGCGTACAGCATGATGGTCCTATGGGCGTACAGCCGATGTTCGAATGATTTCGCATCCCCAGGTGGTGGGTGTGTTCATTTGGGGCAAGCAAAAGGGAAACACCGAAGCCATTTCAGGGACCATGAGTTTGAGAACCCCAATCCCACACTGTGGATGGACGGAATCCTGCACCACGAACTGAAACCATGGGAAGCCATTGATTGTTGGTATTTACAGGGGAATCATCATTCTAGGGTTTCTCGGGTGGTGCAGGATTTCGTCCATCCACAGTATGTGTGTGTGGGGAAACCAAGAGGAAACCAAAGTCATTTGGGGGGTCAGCCTTAACAAAGACACGCACAGTTAACTTGGTACTCCCATGTATGAGGCTCCAAGCGGGTCGCGCGGTGGATTAGCAGACGGAGTGTGGGGAAAAAGTTGCGGGGTCAACTTGGGATTTCTCAAGGTTCCTCCTTGAACTTGGAGCTTGTCGAGCGTTGAACTGTTTCATTTCTTTGTAAAGATACGGGGTTGTCTGAAAATAAACGAAACCGACGCAATGGCTCATTTCCTGTTGGCTTCCCTTCAAACCAACCCACAAAAGGGAACTCTCAACACAAGACTCACTCATATGTCTTTAGCCTGGCTAGATTAGGTCTTTGTTCCTCTCTTCCACATTGACAAAGTTCTTTGCTTTTAACGTAAAAACGGAGATGGCACAAGTACCTGACACTGGTTCGTTCCTGTTGGTTTCCCTTCAAGGCCATCCCAGAAAACGGTACGTAACTCTTCACACATCCCACGCATGTACGCCACCAAATAGCCCTATGAACACACTACTTTCCAATTGGAAAGAGAATCTGCCACTTCCATGTTTGTTGGTGGAAGGGTGCGCCATTTGTCGGCTTCAACTGCCGCAGCTTTGCCCATTTATGTATATATATATATATATGTATTGCGGATCTTAGATGATGGTCCATGTTTAGTAAACATATACTAGCAATCATTACCATCAAGGCTTTAACACAACACGATGCTTGGCTGCCCAAAGGACCCACAATTGGGGCCTTTAACTACCAAAAAATGGGCCAAAACGTGAAATCCAAAGCGTCCGAAGCTCGATGAAAATGCGACAATGCGTGAAAGGGCTCACGGCTCTCTAGTCTATGAACCGAGCCTTCGAGCGTGCCGCAAACCGAAGCTTTCTCAAGTTGCTATGATCATGGTTAGTTTGATGAAAAATAGATGGCACTGGTTCAGGTGGGGTTTCTTCCATTTACCAGGGAACCCCATCGATTTTTCCAAAAGGCCACCTATGGCTATGATACCGTGGATGGTTGCGAAATCCGTGACGCACCGTTCAGAGACCCAACGGAATGATTCGATTCCCCGTGGCAGATACCAACAAATAATGGTCTCCCATGTTTCAAAGTGGGCAAAGAGAGTTTGTCCATCCACAGCATGCCCAGAAATGCCCGTGCTTGGAATCCTTACGGGTTGCCGACAAGCTGCACCCCTTCAAACGGCCCATCCAAAACATGTGGTTCGATTCGGTTGGAAGCATCGGCCAAAAAAACGCAAAAAACATCTGGAGCACGGGATATTGATATGTCCATATCTTATCGAGCCCCCTCATTAGGCCCGCAGGTTTCAGTTGAAGCTTGGACTTTGGGCCAAGCAAGGACGGGCTGATAGACGTAGCGCTCTGGATTAGGACAAGGCAAACAGAAGTCAGGTCGGTCTTCGACCCTCTGCAGTTGCTTGGAAACGATACTATCCAACCTAAATTAAACTGTTGAAGCCAAACAAGTAAACGAAAAGAACAACCAACTGCGTGGTCTCCAAAACATCTCCGGGGTGAGTAAGCTCAACCAAGGACCAATTGAAGCAAAGACAAAGAGGACGCAACTACTTTCAAACAATATCTTTTGTGCTTTCCCTTGAAACCATGAAAAAGGGGTACCCACTCCGAGATAGGTGGGCCAATGATTGCAAAGGAGACACTGCCTGTTGACACTTTGCCACGATTGGGAAGCTACTTTCTCCCGCGGGTTTCCAGCGGGTTGGTCCAACTCCTTCAACACGAGCGGAAACAAATCTGAAGCAACCTCTGCTTGGTCTTCCCTAGATCAAGAGTTGGTTTTTTCAACAATTTGTGCAGCCAACTGCTTGCTTCATGCTCCCACTTCCATTCTGGAATGAAAACAATCCCACAAAAACAAATCAGCACACATCTTGGGCAGACCCGGCAGTTTTGCAGACCCCCATTTGGACCAGTTTTACAAATCAAAACCGATCGGTACTAAAATGGTCTTCCCAAGATCATGCTTCAAGAATTCTCAAGGGGACTGCATTTGCACCCACTTATGGCAAGGGAATTCTTACTAACCTCATATACCCAAACCATCCATCCTATGGTTTCCTTTGAGGGAATCCCCAAAACCGATTCAATCCCAGCACCCGGACTCAGTCATTCCCGGATTATCGCACCAGCATGGCTTCGTGGCACGTCCTGCGCTCTTCCCAGGCCACTTGCGCCGCCTCCTCGGACAGCAGCTGGGTGGCCGGGCCAAGTAGCACGTCCACCAGACCTCGAGACTCGAGGTCGGAAGCGCCCGGAGCCCAACCCATGGATTTTCCGCAAAGGGATCTCTGGTGGGAGAGAAATATGTGTTTGATGTTGTTTGCTTTCCGCTGGGAAAAACAAATACCATTTGAAAAAGAAACATGTATTTTCCGTTCTAGACTTGAAAGGATGGGTGCTCTTGCTTGATTGATCGAACTTGCCTTTTGCTTTTGACCCGGTGGGTTTCTTTGGTTTCCTGGTTTCAAACTTGACCAAGGCATTCTGGACATACTGTGGATGGACGAAATCAAATCGCACCACTTTGAAAACATGCGAAACCACTACTGTTTGTTGGTATTTCCCCTGGAATCGAATCATACCAGGATTTCTTTGGTGTGAACGGACGTCGGTCATCCACAGTGGGACATAGGCCACTACAGCGCCTATGCAGCTCCCGAGCCATTTGGAACTCTTCACATTGCTTTTAACAAGAGAAATCTCACTTTCACTTTCTCACTTCCGATCGAGTGGATGAGTGGACTGGCCAAACAAAGTAAACTGTTCGTTTGCCACTGACATGCTCCAAACACCAAAACGGTGACCAAAGTTCATGAACTCAGGCAGTGAGCGTTGCCACGAGCAATGGATTACAACCCCTTGACTCGAAGCTTTCAGGATCGGCTTCTGCGTTGAAACCCAAACGCAACCGAAGGGCTCCTTCCCGGGTCAAAACCGTGAAACTCAGATGCAGGTCTTTGCTCTTTGTGGGGGCCGACGTTCTCTCCAACATGTCAATCTCACTTCCTGAGTGGATGGCCACTGAAACAAGTCCAAACCTTTTACCAACAAGCATGAAGCCCAGAAACTGGAGAAGCAACCTAGGATTCATCTGTGATACTGGGCAAAAACCGCCTTCCAAAAAATCAAGTCTTCCTTTTCAGGCGGGAGGCAGGTCCCGATTTCGGTATCGCAGAAGCGGAAACAACCTTGATTCAACTCATGTTGATAAGATCACATGCTGCAGGGTACAACTTGCGGGAATCAACAAAGCACATAACTCGCAACTCCCACAACACTTCAGGCGAATCCCATCAAACCACAACTCGGGAAAATTGGTTTAACGCACACATAGAAGTCCGTTCGCCTAAGGCCCCTGGACAAAAAAAGACACGTTTCCAGTAGTGATGAACTCCCTTTCAAACCAACAAGGGAAAATAACAATATATATTCTGAAACGCAAATAGCACAGTCCATGGAAAATGATGCCGCCAATTTCTGTGCCCGATTTTTTCGGGCAAACGGAAGGTCAAATGGCCATGGGTCAAAATCCAAATCGCAGCCCCAGTGAACATCCCAATCCAACCACGGGAAAAAATCTACCAAAATGGGTGGTGAATTCACCTACCAACCAAGATGGGATCCCGCTTCACGGTTTTGACCAACCACCGCCAAAAAACTTCGCCCAAAATGTCGCAGAGACGTCCGTCCGCGGCGCGGTCCCGGATCATGGCGGTGTAGTGCTCCCGGACCTGCGGCGAATGGCCCCGGGTGATGGAGACCTCGAGCCGATTTTGCAGCCAAGAAAAACCAACGAAAACCAACGAAGACTAACGAACACCAAGAAAAAACAATAAAAAAGCACGAGAAACCACGAAAAACAAAAAAAACACATAAACCCAAGGAAAACCAACGCAAACCAATAAACCCGAAATGAAGGAGGTTGCAAGAAAGACCCGGTGTCCGTCGCTCGACTCCCCCCACTCAAACTCCTCATCAACCAGACCCTTCGCGATACTTTGTGTTTGGTAACAAAACGGCTTTACTGATCGACCCCTTCGGACATGCGAGACACCCAAAAAGAACCTCTCTTTCAGCGGATCGGGGAGGCGGGCCGGGGGTCAACCAATCCCCCGGCCAGCGCAGCCGGGCCTTTTCTCTCAGGCCCTGATCATCATAGACCCGCAGACCCTGAGATGCGATCGAATTCGAGCTGGCGAATAGGCTTCTCAGCAACCGGCAAAACCCGGACAAAACAGAGTGGAGGGCCAAAAAAAATGTCGGAACATTTAGTTTACCACTAACATGGTCTTCCCAAAAAGCAGGAACTCTGGAAGTGAGGCTTGACAGGGCTAAGGGCCAAAGAAAGACAAAGGCTAGATCAAACTTTAATCATTGGAAGGTGGTGTGTGTGTGGGTGTGTTTTATTTCTTTTCCGGCCCTCGATGCACAGGATTCCCACAGCCAGAATAAGGGCTCCCTTTTGAAACATAATCACCTACACGAACAGGGCTGTGGGGAATGACCACTTCTGTGATACAACGGAAAGGGCTTTCCAAAGACTATTGTGTTCATAGAAGGGGGATTCCCTTGTATCACAGAAGTGGGGAGAGACCATTTGATCCCACAACCCTGTACACGAAGGTCGCAAAGCCTTAGGTCGCGGTATGTGCGACATGCTTCCTTTTTTTTTCCGCATGTCTGAGGGCTCTAGAAAAAGCAAGCTCGCTTGACGCGACCTGCAAAATGCTAACTCCGTAAAACCCAGGAGCAAACTACGCGACATAAGTGTCAACAGTGAGCCCGACATGAGACGACCCATCCCAACCAACCCTTGTAAACAATTAACCCAGCCGAAAAATGATCCTTTAATTTGATCAGTGCCCGGCAATCCAAGAGGTCAGCAAGCACCCCCAGACTTCCAAGCAAAGCCTATCTTTCGTGATCTTAAGTCAGAAAGGTCCCTTGTGAAGCAAAACACTTCGGGGCTTTGGTGGGGGGGGTAGGGTTTGTAGGGACACAGAAGCTGCCCAATTGAAAGCGAAGCCGAACGGTTCGCCGAAAGGCTGCAACCCTGGGAGCTTTTCGGCCAAGAGTCAAAGACCAAGCGGTTGCCACGATGGTCCTTGAAGGCATTGGCGCCAAAGGCATTGTCATTGGCCGTAGACACCAATAGCCTCTGGAGAAAGCGGCCACGCTTGCCGTTTTGCGCACAGGTGGTTTTCCACACACAAAAAGGGGGAGTTGCCTCCTTTACACTTCCTGAGATTGGCAAAAGAAACCCGAAGTGTCTCTGTTTGACACTACGGTTGTTCGGTGCGTTAAGAAGTCTTATACAACAAGAAACGAGACTCTCGCTTGGGCAGCAAGTAAATTTCCCAGTGTCTCGCCCACCCAAAAACCCGATCTCTGTTCAGTGCGTATTTACCCAGTTTACAGATTGTCAGTTACAAACGTCAGCTCACTCACGAAAGTGTAGAGTCCAGGCAACAGGCCTGAAACCAGCCCAAACGGTGCGATTGGGTGCGACTTGCGAATGGGTGATGGGTGCGATTTGGGTGCGACTTGCTGAGCAGTCAGTCGATTCCACCGGTGAGCATGTTGGACTCCCTGAACATCTACGCAAAGCCAAGACCCATAGAATTTGCCACCCAGAGCCTCGGCAAACCTGAGGATTCTTAGCTTCACCATAAGAAACTAGCGAGACTCTCGACAGTAAGGGATTTCTGAGCACAAACCTTAACCGTAGCATATTCTTCCCCAGGACCTAAGTCCAAAACTCGTGAAGTGAACCTTTTGGTTGGTTCTAGGGAACTTCCACGGAAATAAGCAGCCCCTGGACACCTGCCATCCGGTTCAGCCTGAACACCCAGTGTGCTGGTGCCATGTTGCTTGCCTCTGGCTGTGAAGCAACCCGGACTTTCGGTTTTGACACAAAAACCTCAGCTGCCCTCATTGAACCCAAATAAACGATGATCACCTTTTAGGGCCGTGACTAAAAATGGAAGAAAATGCCAAAAGGTCAATAGGTTGGCTTTCGGCAACTGAGATACCCTATACCTACGATCCGGAGAACACCGGCCTTTGAACTCAACTGAGGGATACCTGAGGGAGAATCGCAATTGTGTGGGGGATCCAAAGAAGAACAAAACGGACCACCGAAGCCATTTTTTGCAAAAACATTCAACCTGAAAAAGGGAACCCCACCCCCACCCCCACCCTTCATAGGGGGGGGTGGAAAAAAACCACTCCAACACGAAAACACCCGCCCAAAAAGGAACACACATCACTGTTTCGGGGCATCCAAGCAAAAAAAGACGGTCACCCGTCGGTTGCTTTCTGCTCTCCTGCTAAAAGTGACTAACTTTTAGTGGTTCAATGGAAAACCCATTTGGCAAAAAGTTAAAGTCCTAACATCCAAGCAGAATGCAACAAAGACATCACCAGAAAAAAGAAGAAAACAAAACCGAAGCCATTTGGGGGATCCAACCCAAACAAAAGACGGTCACCTCACCCGCGGGTTTGATCCACCTCCCACCGGCCACCGGCCGGGCGGATCGAGCGGATCGAGGCGAGGGGCTCCAGGGACTTCTGCACGCGCTGGCTCTGCGCCACCTCCTCCGGGCTGCCGCTCAGGGTGAGCGTCAGCCCCAGGATCAGCTGGCCTCGCCGCTCGCGCCCGAAGCACGACGAGCAGCCGAAGCAGCCGAAGCAGCCGAATGCAGCAAAGTTTGTTCGAAAGCAGCCCTAGGTCCTCCAGTAGTTTGAGGTCAGAATAAGGGTACCAACTTTTTATTGCTGTGAACTAGGTCCTCCAGAATTGAGAGGTCACAAAAGTTGGTACCCGACTTGTTGTCTGTCGTCTATTTTAGGGGAACCCTCCAAAAAAAAAATCGGCAAAAGGGCACTACTGGGGGAGCTAGAGCCAAAGCAGCCGAAGCAGCCGAAGCCCCGAGGCTCGCGTCCCATGGAGCCGAACATTTGTTGTTCGCCACTAAGATGGCCTTACCAAACCCAAAAAGTTAGGGCTAAACGACGGTTGATGTTCAAAGTCCCAAGTCCCTTCAAAGTAGAGCATATCTACTTCCGACAAGACAATCGCAGCGCAAGCGCTGGCGATCCCTTGATTTCCTTTTCTTGCCAGCCCTTGATTGCAAAGTTCTTAGTAGCCGACAAAAAGCAGCAAGCAAACAACGCAGGGGAAAAAAACAAAAACAACCTACCCATACCAAGAACCGTGATCGTGTCTCCCAAAAAAAATGTTCCCGCAAAACGGGAAGTTCCCAAGAAGAAAACAGCGGCTCCCCCCCCACCCCAACATGGCGGTTCCCCAATCGGTCGGCGTGTCTTTTTGTTGAGTTGTGCCTTTTGTGTGTTTTTCAGGGAAACCAGAAGGAACGCCACCATAGATAGGGGGTACCCTAAGCGCCGTTGCTGGAATGCAAAGAACACCCCCCCTTTTTGGGTGCTTCGTGCTCTTCCCTGGCCTGCAGCAGAGGGAAGCAGCAAGAGAAGAAGTCGAGCATGTCTCATGCGCCTGGCCGCGGGCTGAAGACCTGGCCGTGCCTCGTCTTTTTGGTTGGAGCTTTTGTTCTCTCAGTTGCTCTCATTGGACCCACAGTTTACAATGTCGCTGCTGAGTTCCCAAAGAAACCAGCGAGCCAGCTCCGACCCTGAACCAAAAGTGCAGCCGAATCATCAAATGTGAACCATGCAAGAAGATAGGTGTCCTTTTAGGGGGAATCGATGGGTTTCTCCACCAGGTAATCCGGGAATCAAACCCCCTCTATTTTCCGTAGCAAAACAACCAAGAAGGACACCTGATCTCTCTCAGTCGCTCTCATCGGACCCACGGTTTACAAGGTCATCACCTTGGGGCTGCTAAAGGGAAACCAGTAGGACGCCAACCATTCTTGGGGTCCAACCTTAACAAAGACACACCCATTGAACATCCCAATCCCCACGGAAAAGTAAGTTCTAAAATGGGTGGTGAATTCACCTATCCCAAAATGGGATCCCAAAACGGTTTTGACCCACAGCCATATAGATTCCCTTTAAAGCCAACAGGGAAGAAATCTTAAGCAAATGAAGGCCGTATTATGGTTGTGGAAAATAAGATATAGACTTTCTGTGATAAGAACACGTTGGCCATTTTATTTTGGAGGCGCCCAGTGACGCGACCCCCCGCTTTCACCTCGCCTTTCGGCTGCGCCTTTCTCGCTGCGCCGGCCCCCGGCTTGGCCGGCGCGTCACAGCTGGCGCCAAAGGCTGAGGCAGAGGCCGGGGGTTTCCGCTGGGTTTGAAGAGCGCGGCTGGGAATAAAGAACAAATAATTATACCACATCCTCTGTTTGCTTCCTTGGGGGAAGGTTTGAACAGCGTCTGGGAAAAACAATACAGAATTAACCAATCCCTTCCTGTTTGTTTCTTTCAATAAAAAAAGTAACGAAATGGCTATTTAGCACATTGCACTACTTTATTTTGTCTGGAAAAAAATGCAAAGACCTACCAAATCCTCTGTTTCCTTTGGGGGCAAATATAAAAAAAGGCCATTTAGCACATTGCACTCTTTTATGTTTTTGCACCCTCACACTCAGGAAACACACACATACACGACAAACAATTACAAAATCCCTTGTTTGCCTCCTTGGGAAAACAGTAAAAAGATGGCTATTTAGCACGTCACACTCAGAACAAAAAAAACACGCAACAAACAATTACCAAATCCTCTGTTTGCTTCCTTGGGGGAAAAACAAACACGGCTATTTAGCACGTGTTTTTTCTTTTTTTTTCTTAGCACTCTTGCGCTCAGCAAAGAAAACAAATTAAGATGCCCCAAAAAACCAGGAAACCAACGTGTCACGGGTTGGAGCCTTGATTAAACGCAGCCCCTTGAAAAACCAAAGGGTGAAAAGGTCGGCTTTGGCAGCCGACTCGACAATCGAGTGATGCTTCAGAGCGACATCAAGTAAGCCCTGCATCTGATTGACTGAGTTAACGGAAACTTTCGCAATCCCTCGTGAACATTCCATGAGATTCAAACAGGATGACAATCCCTGTGGGATTGTGGCATAACATGCAGTGGTCGCACGTTCAATCAAGACCTACTACATCTCCTTTGGGTTTAATTGAGGGAATGGATCCTTAATTATCGACTACCGGACAACGGCTGTTCAAGGTCCATCTGTTATAGAAAGCACCTGCGCCCAAGTTTCCCTGCTTCATGATCCGAAAGCTCAGTCCGCATTTGCGCACCATGCACCCTGCGGAAAGCTACAAAGCTATAGGGCAAAGTTGAACAAAGCCCTGCTCTCACGCCGTTTTTCTTCGCAAGGCACGCCAGGCTTTGCGTTCCCTGAGATACGCTGTGAGGGCGTCATCTTGCCCAGTCGCGGCAGGGCCGGTCATCAGCAAAGAGAGCTCGCGTGGCTTGGAAATCAGATCCAGTCAAAAACACACACGAACTAGAAGATGCAAGTGTTTCAGCGTACTCCATCTACTAAAGCCGCTGGTCAAGGCATAGGCGTATACATATGTGTCATGTGTACTATTATATAATATATATATATATATATATGGTCCAGCCCCCCAACCCCCCCCCCCCCCCCCCCCCCCCCCCCCTCCCCCCCCTGTGGCAAACCCCCCCCCCCCCTCCCCCCCCCCAACCCGCCCTCCCCCCCCTGTGGCATGGTGAGTGGGCTGGTTGGAGTTAATTCAGGGTTGGGTTCCGGGCGGTTTTAGGGTTGATTTAGGAAACTGTTTAGGGTTAGTTTGCGGTCGGCTTAGGGTTGGCTTGAGAAACCTGGCCTGGGAAATCTAAAAGCTTGATTTGGCCTGCGCTTTGGGGAAAAAAAGGCCTGCCCGCCCTGTGGAGAAGTGATTTTCGGGCTTGCTTGCACTTGGGTACGGACACGAAGTAGAAAGCTGACAGAGAAGCAGTGGACATATCGATCAACCAAAAGGGCCGCGCGAGCCCGAAGCCACACAGCGGGTGCCGGGCCTCTTGAGGGTGGGGCTTTCGATGGTGGGGGGGATGCCATTGGGGGGGGGGGGTAGGACCGGGGTAGGGCGGAGGACGGGACCATATATATATATATATTCACAGAGGTGCCAGTCATGAACGTATCAGACCTGAGCACACATAAAACACAACACCCTAATTAAGCCGATGGATAGTTTATGCCCAGATGACATTGCCTGTTTCTTCATCTTTTGTCAACGCCTCGCTTCCCGGGGTAACACAAAATGCCCAAAAAATGTTTGCACTGTGCGTCCACCAAGGAGTCTGTCCAAAAACAGTTGCCCTCCTTGCCACGGAACCTACTTTCGTGGCCATCAACAAAAGTAAAACGCCTTTCTTGTTGCCTCACTTCCTGAGTGAATCGGCCCAAGAGGTTTGCCACCAAAATGGCCCAAACCCAACAAGTGGCTCAGGTGCGAAACGGAACTCAGGAAGTGAGCGGGAGGTTTCTTTTAGTTCCCCGCCGACAAGGGGGTCTTAAAAACGGGTTTCCTCCAAACAGTCCAGGAACTCAGGGAGCGAGTTGCTCCCCAACAACAAGGCTGAGCTTTTCCTGGGGTTTGCAGAGCAGGGTAACGAATTCGAAATCCAAGCGAAAGGATATACAAAAGGGGGGTTGCATTTTCTTAGGATTGGTGGTGTTTAAAGGGACACCAAAAGGAAACCCATCGCTTTGAAAGGTCGGCTGCAAACTGTGGTGGGTGCAGCCTTTTGAGACATTTGGGTTCTCACAGGCTCCCAAGCATCCAACGTGCAAGCTGTGGCTGCAGGATGGGAATCAAAAGGGAACACTTCAACTGGTGTCCCATCCCATCCTGGTGGAATGAAGATAGTTACAAACCTGATGCTGTCAAAGTATGCATACAGGTGTAGATGTGTGCAGATAGAATATGCTGAAAGTGATATTTTCGAGGAGCCGGTCTGTTGCTTTGGCTAGGCCAGCACGAGCTCTGCGTGCAGAAAGCAACGTTGGACATTGGCAAGCGAATTCTGAGCTGTTGCAACTCTTGGATCCTGCGAATGGATTCAGCGGACAGAAGCTCAATATTTGACCCGTGTGTTTGTGTGGGGCTTGTGGGTGTGGCTGTGTGTGTGTGTGTGTTCGCATGTGTTTGTGTGTTTGTGTGTGTGTCTTTTGTGTTTTGTGTGTATTGTGTGTTTGTGTGTGGTTCAGGCCCTTTCTCTTGGTTTCCCAAGAGGCAAACCAACACTTCTGGGTTACAAACACCTATGTTGGGAAACAATCATACGTATAGATCGGTAAATATTGCATGGTGTTCCATATGTTACTCCCATCCAGAATGCACTCCCGCAAGGTCTGTTGCTTGATGATTAACATGAGCTGCTAAATAATATCAAGCATTTACTGAAGTCCCCTGGACAAACATATTGCGAGTACTGATAGATTCCCTTGAAACCAACTGGGAAAATCAGAGACATGATACTTAGAATAGGGCCTAGGGTTGCGAGGTACATCACAAAACAAGTTAAGTTCTGGTACGACAAGGATGCCCAGGGGTTCAAACCACAATGAAAACAATACGGGTTAATATAACCACCATTATTGACCCTTCAGGATTCTTAGGATATTCATCCAAATTGGGTCCCCTTGGGCCAGTCTTTTAATGGGAGTCGGCAAGGAACCTTAGGGGATGCACCTTTGGTGAACAATACCAAATTGTTTGAAAGAAACTACTACAGGAAATTAGCCAAACCCCTTGTTTTGGGTGGTGCCCGGCTGGTTTCCCATCGAACTGAACACTTTTTTTCGCTCGAAGAGGCTCTGATGTCACCCCGAAGGCATGTTCACGCGCGAAAGCGCTCGCGCCGACCGAAGCCTGGCGTTTTCCGGGTACGTGCGGCGTGGAAGTGCTCGTCCGAAATCCCAGGGTTCCAAAGATGTAACGATGCCTTGGAGCAAGGAAAACAAAACCGCCAAACCAAGCTACGTCTGAAAGTTTGCTACGTCAGGTACACTCTGTCTCTCCGTCCTGAGTGGATGGGGCCAAAGAAAAAGCCGCTAAAAAACGTGTTCCCAAACAATACAAAGTAAAGGAGACTCTGGGAGTTCTAATCATGGAAGTCATCCAGATCAATTCTTGACGATTTTCAACAAACGCCTCTCCCTGCCTGCTCGCTAGTGTTGTCTCTGTGGATGCGCAACCAAATGATCTTGCCCAAAAAAAGAGATAAAGTCCAATACTAGGGAGCGACCTGGCTGGTGCTTTGAGATATTGACCCCCTTCAAGGGCATATAGACCCTATTGGATACTGCGCACTGCGCCAACCAACAGGGGAAGTGAAGTGCAGAACGGTAACCTCCTGCCTGGTAGGATAAGTCGGGCCTATTTGATGCGGCTCATCTTGTTGCCCGAACCGCCAGTGCGAACTGCCCTTTGCCCTGAGGACTGACCCATCTGACGGATATGGTGGGTGCAACTCTCTAGGATCCGCAAATCTGAGAACCTAGCGCGTTCGATCCGCAACTCTCAAGTGAAGTGGATCCCCTCCCAACTGGGCTGCACGCCCCCTGTTCATCAGGGATGTGTTAAGCAACATCCTCCTTCCAGAGCGATGTGACGTCCCCAACAAGTCGGGGAAGCAGGCAAAACCAGCCAGAGACATGGAAAACTAACGAAAGCTGACAACAAACGCCCAAACAGAAGCCAACTAACAACTGGAACATACATCATCAGCATACTTCTTACCAGCCAAGGATTCACAAACTATGCAACCCGAAAACGGATATGGACTAATTAAGGTTCGCCCCTAGGTCTTGTGAGGTTGCTGTAATTTGCCTGACATGTCAAGTCTCAAATGCACCGAGCCTTCTGCCACATTTTGGCGGTTCCGTAGATTCAGGATCTGACCCTTTCAGACCTTGTCGCTTCGCTTTGGGATGCTTTTGCATAAACAAAAACGGCCGCTCCGAAATTAGGACTCAATGTCGCAATGATTCAACACCCTTTTTCAAACAACAAGCTTGAGTTCAAGTGTAGTTGAAGCAAACCTACATAAACTTGCAGACATACTGCGGATGGCCGACTTGGAAGCCCTGGTTGAAACCATTGTTTGTTAGCATTTACGTTGGGGAATCATCATAAACAAGGGTTTCTGTTTCTGAACGGTGGTGCGAGCAGCAGATTTCGCAACCATCCACCGTAGCCTTGCATGGCAACTGCCCCGCTTTCGGCCTAGCGGTAGGTGCCCGGAAGCATCGTCCTGAGCCGCAATCTCCAACCAGAAGTGGCGTCTCGAATTAAGAGACCGGCCATGGGAAAGCAGAGTTGCGACCCAAAAGCAGCAGGGTTCCAGGGTTCCAGGGTAGGCAGTTCCCGGCTCCGAGCTGGAGGGGCAAACTGATTTCCGCCCCCTGGCCTAGAGATAGAAACTCAACAGCTGATTGCTGTTGAGAATTTCCAAGCTGCTCACATCACCACGCAGTTGGAGCCCTGTAAATCCGTGGGTTCCCACCCCCCACACCCCCAAACGGCGCCACAACCTTCCCTGTTTCCCGCTAGAAAGACAGGAGAAAGGTCGCATGAGGGTCGTACTTTCGAGGGAAACGTGAACTTTCTACCTCAGCTAGTACACCCCAGCACCACATAATACATGCGTGGCTCTGATCCTGTCCTGATCTAGCGAACATTCAAACTCTATTAAACTCTGACAAATGCGAGGTGCAGGTTGGGAGATGTTGAACATGTTGAACATGCTGTCCTGATCTCGTCATGAAAAACCTATTCACTCGGAAAACTTGGAGGAGGAGGAGGTTGGGATATGTTGGGATGCTACAGGATGGCCGAACCTGAGTGCCCGACACACCTGGCTGCATGACCCCAATGGGCCTGGCACCGAAGAAACATCAAACGCGAAAGCCGGCCTTTGCAACCGGCCTCAGAATTGGGCCACTTGTGCGGAAAAAGCAGCAACATAGTTCTCTTCCAACTTGCAAACAAGATATACTTAACAGTGGCATTTGTTAGGTTGGAAACCAACATGAACACAGTAAACCAAACACCACGCATGCACATTGACGTTTGTTGTGTTGTCTGGGAGACCCTACTTGAAACAAACATATTGTTTGCTGGAGGGGCACTTTTTCCAACGGTGGAAAGGTAAGTGTACTCTGTGTTGGAGCGAATGGGTGGGTGAGTGGGTGAGTGCGTGAGTGCGTGAATGGGTGCGGGGGTGAGGGGGTGAGCGGAGAGTGTGGTGAGGGGGGAGTGGGGTGAGGGGGGAGTGGGGTGAGGGGGTGCGTGGGTGAGTGGGTGAGTGCGTGAGAGGGTGAGTTGGTGGGTGGCTGGGTGGGCGCATGAGTGAGTGAGCGAGTGAGGAAGTGCGTGGAGTGAGTGGAGTGAGCGGAGTGAGCGGAGTGAGTGGAGGCGGTCGGCGCCAGAGGCCGAGGCCGAGGCAGTGATCCCACCCCGATCATTAGTTCTTCATGCGGAGGGATGTTTCCTCTTTTTCCCAACAAAGGCCCGAGAAAAAAAGATGTGAGCTCTTGCGAGCTGCGGTTGGCCCTTGACATTAGGCTGATACAAACAAAGCCGTGCATCAACTCCTGCGCGCTGAGGTTCCCCCGCAAACATCGACCACATCGAGGTGCGCCGGCTTTCCACAGTTCCAGACTGTCCACTTCCAAGCGCTGACATGGTGAAAGACCTACACTGAACCGCCCGTCCTCGCTTTTCCAGTGAATTGGGCCAGAAAAGTACCAATTCAAACTTTTCTAATTTTCCCGCTAGAATGGTCCAAACCCGAAAAGATTGATGTCCGAATTATGGAAGAGAGGGGGACTCACCAAACAACTTGTTGGTTCTCAGCAGGGAATGTGGGCATGAACCAGTGGTAACCAGGGGTCCCCTTAAAGGAAATCACCAGGTTGGATGGTTTTTCTCGGGGTCATTCCAATCCTTATTCCCTGCATCTCTCGCACCAGCAAGATAACTTCCATTTGGTTAAGACCCTTGCAAAAAATATATAGATATATAATAAAAACCTATTTATAGTAGTGATCAATTCCTTTTAAAACCAATGGAAACACAAATCTTAAGCAACTGGAAGATAAGAGAAGTGGTCTACACCTTCAGCCACCAGTCCAATCGAGTCCAGCCTCATCGGGTACATGCCATTCTGGTAGACCGGGGCAGGCATGCCTCCAGCTGATGAACATTGAAACAATCCCCGTGCTTCCTTGTGTTCAACTTGGTTCTTACATGTATTTGTCTGTCGGTTCTCCTGTGTTGACTGTGTTTTCAGTGTGGTTCTTATTATTGTCCTTTGTCGGTTCTCCTGTGTTGCCCGTGTTTTCAGCGTTTTGCTTCCTTGGTTTGCTTTTGTTTGCTTTGGTTTGCTTTGGTTTGCTTTGGTTTCTTTCTGTTGCCTTTTGGTTTGTTTCCCTTGTGTTCTGTTGCTGTCCTTTGTTTGCTTGTGGATTCCTTTATGTGTGTACAAATCCCTGCAATCCCCGTCACAATCCAACCCACAAAAACCAATTTGTCCTGGAGTCTGGACTGTGTCTGCCACCCCCCTCTTTGCTTCCCGGAATCAATCCACGCGAAATACCACTCGCTTGAATTCAGTGTCGATCCTCTAAACTACCCTTGAAATGGTTTATGGGCAACCCTCGCCCAAAAGAAATACATAAAATAAGGGACCCCCCAACCAACAAAAAGTTGCTCCCAGCTAGATCTCTTTTGCGAAAGCCAAGCTTTTTGGGTCCCTTCACTTGCAGAGGGCAATTTGGGTCCGTTTCTTCAGAAGACCCCCCCACTGAAATGGTGGTTTCCTCTTGGTTCTCTTTTAAAACAGACCAACAAGGGCTCAGTTGCCCCTTGGACCCAGAACTAAAAGGTTAACCTCTTGGCACCTCTACTAAAAATGGACCAACACGGGAAAGCCAAAAGGTCAAAAGGTCGGCTTTGGACAACTGAGAGGGGTACCAACTCCACAACGACACCAATGTATGAAAAAATCCAATACCCACGGCTGCATCGCTGTGGTCTTCCGAAAGGGTGAAACCCGGGTACTTTGAACATCTGGGCGTCCCAGTAGAAAAAGTTAACGTGGCCTGCCGCGGTACAGATTGACCCTTCCAGTGAACACGTCATGCACAATGTGAAAACATGTCTAGACTTTAAAAGGCGTTGAAGTTAATTGTCCCTTTTTTCAAGATGAATACAAATTGATAAGGGTTCCTTTTCGGCAAATCATGACCCCAGGCCGAAAACAACTCACACCAGAAGTGTTTTTTTTCGCGGCCAAACAATAATTACGCCACCTTCACGTTTGTGAGCTCGTGGAATGGATCTCGTAAGCAACTTGCCTTAGAAGCAGCGCGACACAAAGGACACCCGATGCACGGCTGGCTTGTTCCAAAGGGAACCCGATATAACAAACAAAAAAAGGAAATGAATCCACCGGCCAACTGAGTGTAGCCAAGTGCTGTTTACCACTAAACTGGTGCCTAAACTAACACGACGCCCACTTTTTGGTATTGCCTCGAAGTACTTGCCGGTGACATGTTCAAGCCCGTGCTCTACCTATGATAAGAATATTCAAGTCAGAGCCAATAGCTAATCCCAAGACCGAAAGACCTGACAAACACACATGCACCAAAAACTAGGGTCTCAAGATCAACTGGAAATGATAGATTGTGTATTGAAATGATCAACCTTCTTGCCAACTCATGTTTTCCTTTGGCAGTGCAACATGACAGTGTTCAACAAGTACTCTTGCAACACAAGGACCTGGAAATCAAAGGTTCCCCTGGGTGTGATCTTTGTCTTCGAGTTGGCCGCCTTTTGGAGGAGCTGTTGAGGGAAAGCACTGGAAACCAACGAAGACCCCCCTTGAAAAAAAAAAACTTCGCTGTTGGAACTTAGAGACAAACACTGGCAAATCCAAGACGTGCGATCCGGTTGATTCGCTTGAAGCGAGAGAAAGAAAACAGGCTTGGATGGGGTTCCAACTAATTAGACTTTCCGGTTCAGAAAGAGATGTTTGAACCATTTTGAACAACCAACGAGGGGAAGTCTATTTTTGCGCACATCTGATAAATATGAGGGATTGTGATGTGCTTTTCAAATCAACTTATCAATTTGAGTCGCGATCGTTGCCGTACATTGATCTGTGCAAATTGCCATCCTCACTCAGATGCCCAGTGGATTTCCATGGGGTAAGAAGGGGCTCCTTTTTGGTCGGCTGAGTTTAGAAGGGGAACCCTTCCAAACAAAAAATAAAATAAAGGAAAGAAGTTGCCGCCACTGGGCAGCTGGGCATTCACAAAGCAAGGGACATCTTTGGATGGGGCAACATGACTGTGGGTCAAACATAGGTGCCCAAAATGGCTTGCCCTGGTAAATGGAAACATGGAGTAAAATCTGCGGTCCAATTCCTGGTGGCCCAATTTTGACCCATGCCCACATGCTCGTGCGAAGGTCGGTCACTCACCGTTGCCCATCCGCCTTGCCCTGGGGAATAGGCAACCTGGCCGCACGCGAGCGAAGCATGTTCCGAAGGAAGAGGCATTGGGAGGACAAACAAAGGCACCAGGAAATTTAACTTAGCACACGAAATGGTAATTACCAACTCCAAAAAACGAAAGGGAACCAGGGCCTCCGGCCCAAAGATCACAGGGCTCCAAGAGCAGTTAAGAAAACTTAGGTCAGTTGGACCTGCTTTGCACCCCCAGAAACATCCCTCGCGTTCCCGAAAAGGGCTATAAAGCTCGGAGAAGGAGCTACTGTAGGCCCTATGTCAGACCTCGGTTGATGCACGGGCTCGGACTTTCAGGTTGAGCTGAAGCTCGCCACGGATCTCAGGCACCCTCTGAACTTTGTGACCCACCCGAAACGAACCACCCCGAGCCTATCTGGGCAAAGACCCCATAGCTTTCAGCTGTTGGGGAATTCAAAGATCATGGGAAGTTCCACAGGAAGCCAGCCAGGCACCCACCCAAAAACAAGGGGCTTGGCTAATTTCCTGTAGGACTCCCCTCTGAACACCTGGGATTCAACCGATTCCCATGAAAAGAATGGCCCAAGGGGACCCAACTTGGACTACGAAAACCCTGAACGGAAAACAATGGTGGTCATATTCCCCATGGTTTTACTGCTTGGATGATTTTTTAAAAAAAAGAAGGTAAGTTGTGGTGGTTCTACGAACCCAACCATTGCTTTAATAGTGGCCTGCCTCAAGCCCATACTAACCATACCTCCGGCGCCTGCATGCGGGGCGTCTGTGTCTGCGGACCGGCGGTGGCCTGGCAAAACCCAGTAAGCTGCTTCGTAGAGTCTCCCGGGTTCAGGCTGCATAGGCCTTGTTTGTGGGTATATGCATGGAAAACCCTGGAAAACCATGGAAAGCTGCTATCGCTCAGAAAGTCAGGCCTGGAATTGTCCAAAGCCCAAGCCTAGAGGCTGCATAGGCCGGGTCGATAATTTGTTTATGTTGCACACCCTTTACGGAAGCAATATGAAAGATCAGCTCATACCGTGGATGGACGAAATCCGTTCCCACAACTTTGAAACCATGGGAAAGTCTTGTTTTTGTGCGCATGTACACATCATTCCTGGCTTAGATGATGCGAACTTGATTTCGTTTTTCAGTATTTGAACGCATCACATATGTTTACCCATGAGGATCACTAGGGTTCAAACCACCATGAAAGCAGTGGTTGGGTTAGTATAACCACCAGATGTTCATCATCGAAGCAGTAAAACCGTGGGGAATATAACCACCATGTTTTTCCTTTCAGGATCATCATTCAAATTGGGTCAGCCTTCGCCGAAATGGGGGTTGAACCCTAGGGTTCTCACTCGAAGGAATCCCCCCCTGGTGCCATGAACACGTAGAGTCTATTTTGCGGCAAGAACCCTAAAAAACAAATAATTTAAGTGAAGGAGGTTGAAAAATAGACCAAGTGTCCACCATACGGATCCCCCCGCCCAAGGTTCTGGAAACAAACCTTTCTGTGACACCAGCCAAAGTGAGGTTCCCCCCAAAGCGTCACACCCGGGCGAAAAATAATTTTACTTGGGAACCTGTTGGCGGACATCATTTACATGGGTGTGGGTCAAAAATAGGTACCCAAAATGGAACCCTGGTAAATGGAAACAATGACTAAACTTTGCGGTCCCCTGGTGGCTTTATTTTGACCTATACCCACATGGGGAGTATTGATGGTCATGAACTAGCCCCTCACATGATGTCCTTTTGATGCAATGATTTGACAGACACGTACCCTTGTGTCATCTTGCAACAGTTACCAACGTCCGGACGTAGAACCCCTCCAACCCTCCGGAATCCTCCCTGAAAGCTGCCCCAAACCACCCCGACCAAGCTGATCTGGGCAGTGACCAACGAAAAAGCACATGTGCATTACCCTCTACAAGAACAAGAAGAGCAAAATCCAAATCCAAAAATCCACGCATCCAAGCACCAATTCAGGGATACCTGAGTCACAATCAAAGCCCGGTACAGAAATCGTCGACCCAGAACCATGTAAAAAACTGAGAAGGCGGTCGCAGCTATTTATGGCTGGGATCGTCCCATACTAACCTTCATCTAGCCTGAAAATGGGTTCCTTTCGGCTGCCGCAACGTAGCGATCCGTCGCCTGCTTGGCTCCCGTTGCCTGAAAGCTCTGGTTCGCCTGGCCGCCGCCGGGTGGATCGCGCCATCCCAGACTATCCGCTTCTCGCACCATTCAGAAACTCTAGAATGATACAATTGCCCTACCAAGAAACAATGGTTTCAACCATGGGTTCAAAGTGGTGCGAAATGGATTTTGTCCATCCACAGTGTCTCATGTATCTCGAAGTCTGTTCTACAAGCATCCTCCATTTGCTAAAGCCCTCTCAACAAAATGAGCAAAAATCCATGGCGATAGATCCCCTCTAAAACCGGCAGGGCAAAATGACAAACTTTTTACCATCATGGGGTTCCTTGCCGATTCCCAGAAAAGAGCGGCCCAAGGGAACCCATTTGGATGATGAACATCCTGCAGGGTAAATTGTGGTGGTTATAGGAACCCAAACCACTGTTTTCATGGTGGTTTGAACCCCAGGGATCCTCATGGGTAAACATATGTGATGTGTTCAAATACTGTGGAACGAAATCAATTTCGCACCATCTAAGCCAGGAAAGATGATTTCCCTGTACATTGCCCACAAACAAGGCTTTCCCATGGTTTCAAAGTTGTGGGAACGGAATTCGTCCATCCACGGTATAAGCCGATCCTTCATGTTGCTTCCGCAAAGCGTATGCAACATACAAGCTATCGACCCGGCCTATGCGGCAGCTTTCCGGCTAACACGCAGCAACGCAAATCTCATGACAGGTAGCCACTCTCCCGTGTGGCCCAAACCACTGCAAAACATGAAATCTTCAAAAACACTGACAGCTCTATGATGCATCATCCCAGGCTGGCCTAAGCGGACGCCTACACAAGGAACAAAAACAATGAGGCGAGCAAAATGCCTACGCCGCCCCCACCTGAAGTGCCTTCGCGAACATGATGCAGGTTCCTTTTTGCACAAACCGTTGATTCCAGAAGAAAAAACAAACGCTGCCCAATTAGTACTTAGTATGATTGTTTGCCGCTAAAAAGGTCCAAGCTCAAAAAAATCAAAAAGCCAAGACATTAGAAAGTGAGTAATTAAATACAATCAGACCAGTGGGTTTCAGACCCCAGCAAACTACTAACTCCAATCACCCCGCGCGCACGTCAGGTCGAGCGCCAGAGCGCCTTGCGTATCACCAGGCGTAGGCCGCTGTAGGTCATGCGAAACCTTCGCTGAGGCTCCTGCGAGCTGCGAGCTGCTGGCGCTGCGGGGGGTCCGAGGATGAACGGATTCTGGACGCCAGCGCCCAGGCGCAGTTCAGGTTTCCACTTACCAGGGTTCCATTTTGGTACCGGTTTTTTGAGCTACAGCCATATGGGTGCTTCGCTTAAAGTAGGGGTCCCCGTGCTGGCTGACTTTTGGGGAAGCTGTGCTTGCGACCCCACCTTTACGACGTCTATCGCTTCAGCTTGCTTGCCATGCTTCTTTTTGCGGCTTTCTCCCCTGTTTTTTTGTTTTTGTGTCTGTGTGTGTGTTGGGCTTTCTGCTGGTTTTTTTTCCCTGGCCAATTTGGAGATCTTGTTTCGACAATTTTGCTTCTTGGTGCCGGCAAAAGATTGCGAACATTCGCAGGCTTTCTCTGAAGCACTGCAGGGTTCGCTCCCCTCAATCCACTTTTTGTTGTTTGCAGCACATCTTACGGCTGGCGGCAGTTTCTCAGCGCCACTGCTTGTGCAACTTCCCTGTGGGACTCGCTGCCAAACTCATTGCATAACAAGTTCGTAAACCCTAAGCGTGACAAGCGAGAGGCACGCCGATTCCATTTCACATTTTTAAGTTTCTGCTGGTTGACCGCAGCCTTCCGCCCTTTGTCAACGTCAGGGGACTGCCACCACCTGAATTGAACCTGTATTTGATCCGTTGCAGTTTTCTCTTTTCGTGCTTTTTCGGTGCCCCCTGTTTTCGTTCTGAGCTGGTTGGTGTCTGTTCTTGAGCCCCCTGTGTGTTTTGCAGCAACCTTGCTTTGCCGCTTTTCTGCGTTGCGGACCGTCAATATCGACAGCTGCTAGGCGCAAAAAAATGAGCCGGTGATTTGGTGGTCAAGGGAGCGACTGCGGCTCGCTCCCAGACCACCCTGGTGAGTAGACGCTTGCCTCACGTTCCGGGTTTTTTGTGCATCCAGCAAGTGAGTGAACCATACCACCCGTTGTTTTTTGGCATGGTAACCCAGTTTTAACAAGACGCTGGTTGATTGAACCAGGGGTGGGGGGGGAAAGATCCGGACTTTTGGTGGACCACCACCTTCTTCCGCCAGGTTTATCACCCAGCATGACTGGTTTGGACCAGGTTTTGGCGCCCAATTCTTGGAGCAAGGGCCTCTGGTCGGGTTCCTTGTTGGGAGGGTGCACAAAGATGATTTGAAACAAGCAAACATGACTTGGTGGAATTTCCTCAGCTGCGGAGAGTACCTTCCAAGCCCCCTTTGCGTTGCAGATGGCCATGGGTTCAGCTCGACTTCCATGTTTGGTGGGCCTATTCTATGGCAAGCTCACCGGTGTTCGGGGGCAAACCGAGCTTACTATGAGGTTGGTATTTTGCTTAGGAAGCCTTTTTTTCAGGTTTTGGAATTATACTGAAGTTGGCAGATACCGTCAGGGGTTGTCACAGGTTGTCAGCGAGGCCAGCAGGCGTTCCCTATTAATCGAGGGGCATATGCATCCTGGTTTAAGGTTCTTCTCGGATCTTCCTGGTGAACTATCTTTGAAGTACATAGCCGGGAGGCCCAGCTCAGAAACTGCTCAGTAGCATGGAAGTAAGTATTCGCTCCCGCTCAAGGTGTCGGCTCCTTCTCAGAAAAGTCTGGGAGGAACGAACATTCCTGAGAATGGCACAGCCCTAGCAAATATCTTTAAGCACGATCTTCAAACCTGCCTGAGCGTTTGCACCCCAACCAAACAATCATGTTGATTCTGTTCCACAGCCAGTAAACCTTTTTAGACGTCAACAGAGATCCCAGAAACGTTGAATGCCAATTGCGTATGGGTGTGTGTGTGTGTGTGTGAAAACTGGGGCGCTCCCTAAATGGTGGTTTTCATTTGGACTTCCCTTTGAGGGAACCCAAGACGAGTGCCGCCAAACAAGAGACAAAAACCCGTACTCGGTTGCTTTCTGCTCCCCTGCTAAAAGTTTATCTTCTAGCGATTTAATTCGGGAAATCCAGTAAAGAAGGCAACAAGTTGAAGTCCTAACATCCCTTGCCATGCACTAAATTCTGGACCCACACGTTTTTGCACCAAACCGTACAGACCCAAACACGTTTTGACCCCTCCGGCGTGGCTCAAAAAAAAAGGCGCCGGCGTCCTCCGCGGGGCCGGCGGGCTCAATCCAATCCACATCTGCCTGACATCCCGCGTCCCGCGACAGAAGGAGACTTGGTGCGTCACGGCCGCCCCAAGTCTACCACTCGGCTTGGAATGAAGAGCTGGTTGCTTCTGTGATACAGGGAACTTCCCCCTTTTAACTTTGGTGCTGTAGATCCCCGAATCCAAAAAGTAAGTTTGACCTTTTGCGGGTGAAAAGGAATGAGGGGAATCCAAAAAGTGAAAGTCTAAAGATCCAACCCAATATAGCGCAAAAGAACCCAAAGGCATAGAAGCATCTGGGCCTTCCTTAGGCTTGATGTGTTGTTCTTTTGCCCTACCGTTGATGGACGAAATACATTTCGCACCACCTAATTGAAACCCACCTAAGCAACCCTAGAATGATTTGATTTCCTGTTAATTACCGGCAAAGAAATGATTTCAACCATGCTTTCCAAGCGGTGCGAAATGGATTTCGTTCATCCACAGTATGGCAAAAAGAACCCTCTGCTTTGGTGTATCAAAGTGATCCTCCTCCAACATGCATGTCCTTTTGGACACATTGATGGGCCTGGGTAGATGATGCTACAAATTAGGAATGATGACCATCTATTTTCCAAACCCAAGCAACCCCCCCGAAAAACAAACCGCTATGATCATAGACATGGGTGCCATATGGGTATGGGTCAAAATTAACCCACCAGGAATTGGACCGCAGGTTTTCGTCCATTTCCCTTTTCTCGGGTTCGCTTCTTGGCCCACAGAGCTGAGCCCGGCCCACCGCGGCGCAGCGCTCCCTGCTTGCCTCGCAGAGCTGCGCGGCGAAGCTGCCGTCCCCGAAGAGAGGCGTCCAGTAGGCGTCGAAGCCCCGGCGCGCCTGAGGCGTGAGCCGGCCGGCTGTGCTCGAGTGCTCCCGGAGGGGGGCCCTGGAAGACCATTCTGTGCTCAATGCAGTGCAAAGCTGTATATACCAATTGCCTATTCATGTTCAAGCCAAGTATTTCATATTTCTAGGAATACAAGCATGCATACGACACGTGCTACTATGTACAACTATATGATATGATATGATATGATATATATATATATACACGCACACGCAACTGAAAGCCAACGGGGCCTGATTTAAATTTCAGCGCCTACATTGTGTGCTCAAAGTCCCAGCATTTAATGGAAATGGGTTTGTGTCGAAATAGGGGGCCCCAAACAAGTGTGGGTTGCCCTTTGTTGCCCATTCAGACCCAGAAAGGGTACCCTTCCTCCCACAAACATGGCACCTGAGGGAGGGTACCTGGAAGATCAGCTTCTTCTTAGAGGGATTTTCTGTGAGGTGTGATGGCAACGCGGGAGAGAGGGTACCCTCCAAAATGCACGCTCAAAGAAATTCAAAACAAGCCTTGGTCACTGGATGTCTCCTCCTTTGCCTTTTCACTGGGGACGGGGGACTGGGTGGAATGCTCTATGACTCTATAACTGCCGCGGGCGGCGGGTGTCTTCCTCCAAAAAATGCGTGTGTCTTTTTTGGAGGGTACCCACAAACTGCGTGGTGTTGCTTGTGGCTTTCTTTTAAAACCGCCCTCACAGAAATACCCATGTAAAAGCGATCCCCAACTACCCCCATGTTTCTGTCATCAAAGTCAGCAATCAAGGTGATAGGCTCAATATGGTTCAATCATGGTGACCCAACGGCAAAACAGTTCTTAGAACATTCCGAGAACCTTTCTTTTAGGGTGTCCAAATGTCTCTGACAATTAGGGGATCTGCGAAACAGGTTGGTTCCTTAAAAGGATACATCCGACACCACCTGCTGTACAAGGGAGTCAGCTGGCACAGGTGACTTTTTGTGACCGGCCCTACACGCTACTAGGTCCTCCAGTAGAGAGGTCAGAATAAGTGGGTGAATTTTGTAGTCTATTTTAGTAGGGGACCCTCCCCAAAAAAGAAACGGTAAAAGGGCACTACTGAGGGACCTAGTAACAAGGTTCGACCAAAAAGCTGGTCTTGGGACACCCGAAACGCATCATCTTTGGGTCGTACAGCCACTGCCCCGGTGCTATCAATTATCTGTTCAAAGCCCAAAGAAGCGGCGCCGGCGCCCAGAGGCAACCTCGGCCAGCGCCTTTCGCCCCCGTGAGGCGAGGCTCGCCCTTTGGCCCTTCCTTTCGCCCAGCCGCGTTGCGCACCCCGAGGACCATCGCGCCCCAGCCTGGCGAGGGCGAACTTGGAGGTTCATCCCTCAGTGGGATCCGAATCTTTTCAGGAAACCGAACACCCGGCAAAAACGGATCCCGTGATTGAAAAGAACGATGGTTGAAAAGAACGGACAAGGAATCAACCCTTGGAATGGCTATCAATGTCACTGGCTATGAATGTCCAAATAGGGATTTTGGGCTCCAAACATATTGGTCCTTCTGCTTTTCATGGAGAGAAAAACCACCCCAGAAAGGGGCCCGCTGAGAAGCACACCCGGGTAGACTCCAAGGGTTTTCCCCATCTTGAATCCTGGATTACGCCCCTTTTTGGGAATGAGCCTTTTCTAGCCTACGCCCAAATAACAACCTGGCACCCTGATTATTTGGGTTTATTTGCGATTCTGTTGAGTCATTTCCCTAGGGTGTAATCCCAGGTTCTAACTCGTTCAATAGACATACTAGTCGTCACCTACGTGGGTTGAACATCCAAGTGAGGCACCCCCCAAAGCAACCCCCCCTCCCCACATATGAAGCCAAACATGTTTTGTTTGTTGTTGTTGTTGTTGTTGTTGTTGTTGTTGTTGTTGTTGTTGTTGTTGTTGTTGTTGTTGTTGTTGCTGTTGTTGTTGTTGCTGCTGTTGTTGTTGTTGTTGTTGTTGTTGTTGTTGTTGTTGTTGTTGTCGTTGTCTGTTGTCTGTTGTCTGTTGTCTGTTGTCTGTTGTCTGTTGTCTGTTGTCTGTTGTCTGTTGTCTGTTGTCTGTTGTGTATTGTTTGTTGTTTGTTGTCTGTTGTCTGTTGTCTGTTGTCTGTTGTCTGTTGTCTGTTGTCTGTTGTCTGCTGTTTGTTGTTTGTTGTTTGTTGTTTGTTGTTTGTTGTTTGTTGTTTGTTGTTTGTTGTTTGTTGTTTGTTGTTTGTTGTTTGTTGTTTGTTGTTTGTTGTTTGTTTGTTGTTTGTTGTTTGTTGTTTGTTGTTTGTTGTTTGTTGTTTGTTGTTTGTTGTTTGTTGTTTGTTGTTTGTTGTTTGTTGTTTGTTGTTTTGTTGTTGTGTTGTTTTGTTGTTGTTTGTTGTTTGTTGTTTGTTGTTTGTTGTTTGTTGTTTGTTGTTTGTTGTTTGTTGTTTGTTGTTTGTTGTTTGTTGTTTGTTGTTTGTTGTTTGTTGTTTGTTGTTTGTTGTTTGTTGTTTGTTGTTTGTTGTTTGTTGTTTGTTGTTTGTTGTTTGTTGTTTGTTGTTTGTTGTTTGTTGTTTGTTGTTTGTTGTTTGTTGTTTGTTGTTTGTTGTTTGTGTTTGTTGTTGTTGTTGTTGTTGTTGTTGTTGTTGTTGTTGTTGTTGTTGTTGTTGTTGTTGTTGTTGTTGTTGTTGTTGTTGTTGTTGTTGTTGTTGTTGTTGTTGTTGTTGTTGTTGTTGTTGTTGTTGTTGTTGTTGTTGTTGTTGTTGTTGTTGTTGTTGTTGTTGTTGTTGTTGTTGTTGTTGTTGTTGTTGTTGTTGTTGTTGTTGTTGTTGTTGTTGTTGTTGTTGTTGTTGTTGTTGTTGTTATCTTCTTCTTCTTCTTCTTCTTCTACTTCTTCTTCTTCTTCTGAGGGGTTGCCAAACGGGCGTTTGCCAGGAGTCTTTGGGCCCCTTTTTTCTCTCAAAGCTCCGGTTCGTGGGTCTCAGCTGGGCTCCAAACGAACCTGGCGCTTGAGTCGATGAGTCAAACTCCTTTCAGAAAGCTCAACAACCATCGACACACAAACATACACCAACACACACAAACACACCTAGGTCCTCCAGATTTGAGAGGTTAGAACAAGGGTAATTACCTGTTGTTGTGTTCTTCTTTTTTCTTCTGTTGTCTATTTTAGTAGGGGAACCCCTCCCAAAAAAAGAACGGTAAAAGGGCACCTAGCTGGGGGACCTAGACAAAGTTGGGGGCTTTATAAGCCTAGGAGCTCAAAAAAGACCTTCACCGGTGATTCGTGTAGGGTCCCTGGTGTCGAGTACAATCGCTCCAGACTTGCGGCAGAGCCCATTGGCATGGCTCATGACGCTCACCCCCAGGATTTCCGAAATGGTGAACCCACTTTGGGTATGAAAAGCGAAACCGAAATATTAAATGGTGGTTGAGTCCAGGATACATGGGCTGACCATTGCTTGGCACCATACTGAACAGTTGCCCAGGGTCAACACTGCGCGCCGAAGGGAATATTGCGATCAACCCCCGAATGGGACTCTTGTACCTGGCCGCTGTTGAAAGACTCAATCCGTACTATTGACATCCCTCACCTCGCTCGTAAACTCATGTAGGACTGCCTGCGCCAGAAAATCAAGCAGCCAATGCGGAGACATGCACCCTCAGGGTCCAGCGCACTTCCGAATAGGGTTGTAGGTTGGGACAAAGGAACAAAATGGCAAGTGTGGGCCCCGCTTCTATGGCATGTTCAAGCCATACAAAGAACAAGTGCCATGATGTCCACACCCAAACACTCCACCGGCACTAACAAAGGAGGCAATCTGATCAATCAAACCAATCCAACAATAAGATGCTATGTGGCATGTCATGATTGGACTGAACCAACGCAGCTTACGAGAAACCCATGTGAAGTCTCTTGAGCAGCAATGTCAAATGGGCCCTAACTGCACCGTACGCCTCAGGTCTTGCAGGCTGCTTACAAGAATGGCTCCGGGCTCATTGATGGGGGCATGTTCATCTTCCCATGGGTCCGGTTGCAACTGACGTCTATAAACCGCATGGTTTATGGAAACGGCCGATGAACCTGGGGTCTCCAAAAGGCCCACATGCAAGGGGGTCTTTTGCCAGCTTTGGTGGAAAAATGATCGATCCCCTCGTAGTGAAGGATTCCTTTTGAGGGGGTCGCCAATTTTCTCACAAAGGTGGCAAAAAGACCCCCCCCTGCCCCCATGAATTTTGCAGGTGTGGACAACATGGCGGGCAACTCTTTGTTTTTGTTCACCCCCTTCTTGCTTCGCAGACAACCGGTCCCAGAAGGCGCTCTATTTCTTTCTCCCACCTGGATCCGTTTAAAATACCACTCACGAGTTAACAAATCTAACCTCAGATGCCCAGTGACCATGGGAAAAAAGGGCATCCTTCTTTGGTTGGTTGACTTTACAGGACAACCCTTCCCACAAAAACGGAAGAAAGGGCACCACTGCGCAACTGGGTAACGTTATGCTAGGCAAAAGCAAAGGTGGAAAAATCACACGTCACCAGATCCCTTGCAAAAGCCCAAAAAAAAAGATTCGAATCCGTCCAGATCCATGTTTGCTTGGCTTTCTTTCAGCTTGTTTTGGTTCTTGGGTTGCCACTGTCTGAGCGGTTGGCAGCTTGTGGTTGGGGCAAATGAAGCCCCCGGCGTCAACACCTGCAAGCCATGGCCGGGAGCACGCTGTTGCCCTAGCACCTGCTGCGGAGCGGGGATGCGGCAGAGCCCAGGGGAGTCGGTTGGGGAGGAGTCGGTTGGATCTGCCAAAACCCTTTTTTTCCGGAAACCGCCGTGTGGCCTGCTGCACATTTGTCGCACGGATTCGCACAAGTGGGTCAAAAAAAAAAATGGAGCCCCGCAAACACATGTGAGTTCGTCCAAAAAGCGCGGACTCCTATGGCTGAGTCACTTTCAAACCTCCTCTCGGCCCTTACCAGTTGCTTCTTCTCGTGCAACTCTTGTTCGTGCAGTACCTGGAATGGGTGCATTGTGTGTGCCTGCAAAGAAACGGGCATATCTAACGTCGGCTTTTAATCCCGGGTTCAGGTTCGCCATTGCAGCAAATAGTTGTGCAAATTCAGAATCCTGCTTCATTTTGTTTAAAACTTTTGGCAGGTCCGATTTGGAAAATCCGACCTGTTTCAACCGAAAAATCAAAGTCCACAAGATCCGTTACCAAAGAGCGATGAAGCAAACTCTTGGTTGCTTTTGATCAAGGGATATCTCTTTCATGGGATCCAAATCACTTCGGAACGGGCCCTTTCCAACAAAGTTGAAAGGTCCTGCGCTCCAGCAGGGAAGCAGCGGCTGAACGCAACTGAGAGCCTGCGCACAATGCAATATCTAGGGAAAACATAGAAATTGACATGGAACCCAAAACCGACTTGTGGTTTTCAAGTTTGAGAGTATGTATGAGGGTAAACTGGATGAGGGAACCGAGGTCCTCAAATTCATTCCGTTGCTTTTCAGGTTCAAGTATGTAGAAGGGTAAGCTGGAAAACTAAAATTCGCTGAACTTTTCCAGCGTGATCTCGTTAGAAGCTGCGAGCTCGGCCATACATAGCGACACCCGGCAAAGTTTGCGGCCCGTACCAAGCCAAGGTTTGCTTCACATGGGTTAGTCTCCAGGAACCTGTCCGACATGCAGATTCGAAGGCCAGAAAGGCGAAGCTCTTGGAGAAGCAGCTGGACGTCTTTGACGTGGACTTGAGTGAGCGCAGGTTCGGCGCGAGAAAGATATATGGCCGTGGGTCAAAATCCCGTACCCCCAGTGAACATCCCTATCGCCACTAAAATAGTGCACAGACCCGGACAGGTGGGAAGTCCAGAGTTCGCTGGGGACATTGCTGGAGAGGGCTGTCAAAGAGGAAAAAACATCGTGGCGAAAGCCGTGGCTTTTGTCGTTCAGCCACAAGTCACCGGCAACTTTGGCCACCGTTTTCCCTCAAGGCGCTATCTTTGATCAGTTTTCAGGCAGCAAGGCCAGTTGTCGTCAAATAGGTCGCCAAGCTTTAGATCTCCCTCCCGGAAGCCACCCAAAACCAAAGGCGCATGGACCGTGTCACCTGATTTTCCTCAAGGGACATGGAACTTCAAGGGCTGGAAACCTTCGTCCCTCTCCGATACACCTGAGGGTCTACTGGTGGGGAGGGGGGGAAGGGCGGGTTTAGCTGACATCGCATGCTTTTCTGGGATGGATCCCCCAACTTTGGGGCCACTTATTATACCAGCACAGGTTGGTGGTTTAAACCATGGTTTCGTTTCGTGCGATTTCGTTTCGGATTTCGCAGCCATCTGCAGTATTATTGCAAGGAACCTAGCCTTTTTAACCTTGCGTCAGCCAACTCGTTCAGGTAATCTTTTAGATACCAGGGGAACCTTATGCGGCTTCATGCGGGCATGAGTCAAAATTCAACCACCAGGGACCATAGGTTTTAGTCCTTGTTTCCATTTACCAGGGTTCCAGTTTGGGTACCTATTCTTGTCCCACCCATATGTTCAGCCCGTTTTTCCTGGAAGGACCAAACTTGAGGCAGCTGCCGAGATCGCATGGTAGAAACCCTCCATCTGTGAGGACAGGACCTGCGGCTGAGCGCCCGAAATCCCGAGACTTGTCCTCCATTTGCGGTTGTCGCCGCCTGGACTAAATGAGCAAAATATGTCCGGTTCCCTTTAAAACCAACAGGGGAAACGGGGAAACCACGACATATTCTTAAGCAAATGGATGTTGGACAAAGTTTGAGAAGTTACTGTGGATGGTTGCGAAATCCATTTCGCACCGCTTGGAAACCATGGTTGAAACTATAATGTTTGTTGGTGTTTACCAGGCAATAATCATTTCAGGGTTTCTTAGGTGGTGCAGGATTTTGTCCATCCACGGTCTGTCCGGGATCCCTTTAAAGCCAACAGGGGATACGACATATTCTTAAGCAAATCAAGGTTCTGCTTCCAAGGCTGTAAAGTACACAGCCCTATCACCCCAGACCAGGCAGCAAACAAACCCACCTATCGAAATCTGCAACTTTCGACCGGTCCTCTCCTTGCAAGAAACCACGTTTTGCAGGAAATTACCCAGCAACACAACACCAAGGCAAAATGCTGCACATTTCCCGCAGCCCCTTTAACATCAAGTTGGCTGGTTTGCGCGAAAACATGCGGAAACCCTCAAGGTAGGCAGTTTAGTTTGCCAACATGTGTATTTGTGTTGCTCCCCCGTGGCCCTTTGAACAAAGAGTCACTACCCACAATATTGTAATTACATCACATAGCCTCATTTTAAGGGTCATGCAGACAGCAAAAGGCCATTAGTTTTAGCGACAACTCTTTTCCGGGCCCAATTTGTAGCCAATAAAAAAGCAGCTCACGTGATGGGGGCGCTGTTGGCTTGACATAATGCAACTTTTGTTGGGGCCCCCCTGCGGAAGGCAGCACTAAAAAGAACGTCGCAAAACAAAAGGCGTGTCTGAATCGCCAAGTCCAAGTGAGCCATAATCAAAACCCGGGATTAAAATGGTCTACCCAGAACCATGTAAACAATTCTGCAGTGCGGAAAAGTGCTTCCGTGTGCTTCTATTGCCCACTGGCCAAGAAACGAGAAGAACAGCTTCCCTTGGTTGACTTGAAAAGTGAGCCCCAGTGTCGCACATGTATCACCGACCGTCAGATCAGCCTCCCATCCTTCTGGCACCTCCACGACGTGATTCCACCTTGGGAACGCGGCAGCAGAAAACGTTGTGACGGTACATTGGTTGCTGTGGACCCCTCTGCAAAAAAAACATTCGGAAGATCCTCCTCTGTTTCGAAGCTAGGTCCTCCAGTTGAGAGGTTAGAATAAGGGTGCCCTTTTAGTTGTCTACTTTAGCAGGGAAACCCTCCCCCCCAAAAAAGGGGTAAACACTACTGGCGGACCTAGTTAGCTTTAAGGGTACCAACTGTTTTCTGTAACCTATTTTAGTAGGGGACCCCCCAAAAAAATGTAAAAGGGAATACTGGGGGATCTAGGAACAGCTAAAGTCCAAAGATCCAAGCAAATAGCCATAAAGGCATCCCCTATTTCCTGGGACCATGACGTTGATCGCTGGTGCCAAAACACATTTCCCTACATGCCTCGCGAAAACCACTCCCGCCACTCTCCCTTCCGACTGGCAAAATTGCATCGACGGCCGGCAGTGTGGTGCAGGCCCCTGCCGTTGGACCTCTAAGTCTAGACCAAAAGGACGACATCATTGATTGGCGGCTCCAACCGCATCCACATGTGCAATCATGCAAAAGCTGTATGACAAGATACTAGTACAACTACTAGCGCTAGTACTACTACTACTACTACTACTACTAGTCCTAGTCCTAGTACTAGTACTACTACCACGAGTGCTAGCTAGTACTACTAGTACTTCTCCTAGTGCTACTACTTCCAGTACTACTCCCAGTACTAGTACTACCAGTACTATTACCACTACTAGGACTACCACTACTAGTACTACTCTAGCACTTCTCCTATTGCTACTCCTAGAACTACTCCCAGTACTACTGTTCTAATGTTAAAGTAGTCCGACATTTGGCCCAACAATAAAAGTAGTAAAATACTAGTATTACTACTACTTCCGCTTTGAGTGCTTTTTGCCGCTCTTATTTGGTGCTCTCAAACGTTTTTGGTTGAAGTCACACTCTCTTTGAATTCACATGCTCAGTGGTTGATTCTCGCCCTTCGGAAACGAGGGCCTTGCTCTTGGGCCTTGTGTCTCCTTCCCCCGAGGGCCGGAATGTTTCTCTTGTTTTTGGGGAAGGCGTGGCGAAGCCTTGAAGCCTGGCCTCAGGCGGGAGCCCAAGCACCAAGCCAAAAAGTGCCCCGACCGTGTCAAATTTCAATAAAGATATGGGACATCACGCCACTGAAGTTTGTGACTGTTGATGTTTCCAGTGAAGGAAGGGCGGGCACGTTTGGGCTCGATCTCCATGTCACCAACAGCGTCATACTGGTGCCCTCAACGTCGAGGTACACGAGCTCCGCCCTGGAAAAGTGGCACAGATCAAAGTTCAGGAGTTTGACGGAGACTCTCAACTTCTTGTCGCGGCAGTCCCACACCCGCGCACCAAAGCCGGTCTGATCACAAAACGCCTGGGGCGTGAAGTCGTTGCTATGCATTCCACTAAATGACACCAAAAAGAGTGAGGTTTACTTCAGTTGGACAACCCTCCCCAAATTCGCAAAAAGTGCAGATTTCCTTGTATACATCTATTGGGTCTCATTGAGTTTTCCTTTACCCGTCATTGTGACTGAGACTTGTCTTTATACTCTTGGCATTTGCAACAAAACTGCGGTTCCTCGGGGACATCATCTATTACC